CACAATGTCATTATACCGACCAGCCAAGATAATCGAAATGGTTGTTGGCACATAGGTATAGGATGCTCCGATCACTGCAGGTAAACGAGTCCCAAAGAATGTTTGAAGCAGTGTGTTTAATCCAGCAACAAAGAGTATAGTTTGAATCATTTTTGCTTTCTCCTCCTATAAGATGGTGAAAAAATTAGTTAGACACCTAAGAGTCATGATCCAGGAACAGATCAGCGTGTCAGAGAGAAGAATGATCGAAAATGGTTGATTGCTACTATCATTGTAAAAGCCTTACGTTTCCTCCTCCCATCTGAGGAACGAGAGAGGTGGGAATCAGAACTGTCGTGCCAAGCATCACCAAGTAATGTTGGAAACCAAGTAGGATGGCTTCAGCTGCATTGAGAAATAATTCCACAATCACACACAATAATCACATCGGTATACAAATGCTGGTTACAGTATAAATAAATAAAAACCGATGAAGGTGAAAGAACTTTCATTTTCTCCAAATGTGTCCCAAGACTCCCAACAAATACAACATAAGCATACATACAAAAGCAGAAACCTAACTGAGATTCATAAAACTCAACGAGGGAATACTAGACGCGAAAATGATCATCACCAGTAGCGCCACATAACAAAGTATCAACGAAATAAAACGACTCCAAATTGGCAGAGCAAATCCTTATAAAGAGAAAATGTCAACAATGTGGAAAGAGAATTAGGCACTCACGCCAAGGAGGAGGACTGGTAATGCAGTAGGAAACGTTAGGCAGCTGATCTTTGACCAGATGAGGCTGTAGCTCCTCCTGTTTCGGTGGCGGTGCATGTCCACCTCCTGCCATTTTTCTCTCCTGTTTCCTTCTCCTCTCTACAAGACATCCAAAAAGTTCAGTTAATTATCGGTTTATCACTCAGCATGCCAACCAAAATTCCAGAGGGGGAAAAAAAAAAAAAAAAAAAACCAAATTCTCAAAGCACCAAAAACCAACTTGAATCCCACTGAAATAAACACCAAGACTGAAAATTGAAAAAAAAAAAAAAAAAGAGAAAACAATGATTATTACTACAAGAGGAAGAAAAAATAAAAAGATTATTACTTTTTGAAGAACTAAATCGAAAATTCAGAAGGCAAGTTCTTGTATTGAGAAGAACTCCAAAACTCTGGTCTCAGAAATTCTGCTGCTCAAGCTTAAACGAGGAAGAGAGACACTGATGAAAGGTGGCATGAGAGAGAGAGAGAGATTTACAACCCAAAGGAGTCCCACTTGGACTCCAAGAAAACATTAAAGTGAGTGTGAAGAAGTGGAGAAAAGCAAAAGCAGGAGAGAAATTGAGAGCCTTCCCCCTTCAAAAAATAAAAACACTTCTCCGACCCAAATCGAATCTCTTCAAATGCATAATCTTTAACTTTTGTAACGTCGGTCGTCTTTCTTTTTCCTCGAATACGTAAGAATGAAGCTTTGTGTAAAAGCAGCTTCTCCACCGTCACCTTTACCGTTCTTTACTGCCATTAAAGCTCTTTGGGAAGTAAAAGAAATTCCCTGTTCTTTTTTTTTTCTTTTCTAATTTCGTTGGTAAAAGAAGTTTCTTTTTTTGCAGAGTATGCAGATTACAATATTGAAATTTGCAGAGGAGAGAAGCGAGGTCAAATTTTTTATTTTCCATACCTTAGTTTTTTGCAGGAGCTTCTGAGAGTGATGAATGATCGGTAACTTTCAGTCCCTTTGTTTTTCTTCAAGTATTTGTCAAACTGCATAGACAGATCGAAGTCTCCTTCGATTTGTCTCTGAGTGTACTTTTGATTCAGGGCTTTGGCATACATGACACTTGGACAGTCAAGTTCTGAGCTGTCCGTAGAGAGACAGTGCCACCTTGTTTTTCTCTCACGTATGAACTCCAACGCAAAATTTGCTTTCACAAAATCTTTTATCATAGCGTGTACAAGAATCTACATGTAATTCGATTATTTGAACACCAAAATTGTTAATCCAAACCAATTACGAGAAGTTAGAAAGTCAGAAAACACGAAAATGCATAATACTTATCAAATACTATAACTTGATATCTCGATCGAATGTAAATTTGATGATCTTCTCCGTTGATAAAAAATACAAATTTGTAAATGAAACTACTTTTGTACATGAGTTTGTACAAATTAATTTCACATTGGATCCAAGTTCTAACTAGACTTAGGTTCACCTGATGAACATTTTAGACTTTTGCATTCCTGATTCTATCTCGTTGTATTTATCTCTCATCACGTGATGAGTAAGAAACTAAAACTGCAAGACAGATTCTTTCTCCATAGTCCTCACCAGATGAGAAACTGTGTTTAATGTATCAACTTTGGGACCAAGTGGGCCACGGATCGGTGATAGTTGGGTTGAAGGATGCCCAAGTTTTTAAGAACAAGATGCCAAAGAAAATGCTCCATTAGCGACCCTAATAAGCCTATAGGATGTCGTAGTTAACCCTAACTTTTGTTCGTGGAGTTTGCATGGGAATATATCCAGAATTCCAAACCATTGAACAGTTCCACTTAGATATAATTAAATTATTTCTTGATGTGAAGCTTCCCATAATTTCCACTGGATAAAAAGTTTGAAATTGTTTTTTATTAAGTTTGGATCTAGCTCGTGTCAATTCATGAATTGATGAGGACTATTGGCACTCGGCTACAACTTTTCATGATTCTGACCTTCCTTCCAAGTAGATAAAGGAAAACACAAAGAGATCGTTTGAAATATCGAATATTTTAAAATTTTAACCGTGAGATTTTTAGTCAAAAACATAACAATTAAATATAACTGCTAAAAAATTTAAGGTATTTTATATTTTGATAAATGCTAAGAATTTTCTCTAAAAGTGAGAATTTTCATGATTACTCTATTACTTCAGTTTAACATTAATTCTCATGTTAACATTGTAAAACATTGTTAAAAAAAATGAGGGGATAGAGAGTCTCACTTCTTATGAGAGATTTTCAATGTGTCGTGAACCCGGTCCGGTATACCACGTGTAATAATATAATCAGTAAGACTCTTGAAAGAAAATATCTCAATCAATTATATTATTATACTTGATATACCGAATTGTATTTCCAACACACTGATAAATTTACAACTCATGAAAGAATTCCCCTGGCATTTTTCATATTTTGAAACGCCATTAAAAACATAGCAACATGGGAAAAAGTTTTATTCCCAAGCCCCCACAAAAGGCCCCATCTTTACCTTCTTTTCCCTAACCCCAAAAACATTATATAAATAGATTAAGTAATCAACTTTACAAAAGAAGAAAAGAGAAAAGAGAAAAGAGAAATAGCCGTAATAAACAAGAAAAGCTTGCTCATCAGCCATATAAAATGTGAGGGATGGCAATTGATTCTCATGTAACTGAGTGTCCCATCTGCTATGACTCCACCAACAAGTAAAATTGACTCATCATAGTTTGAAGAAGAATGATTGCTAAGATTTGCTTAGTTAAATTCACACCATAATTCTGTAATCATCTCCTCTGGAAAGATTTTAAGTCTCAAATCAACATCATAATCCTATAATCATTCTTAAGTTCGATCACATATTTAGGGCACCAGACACAATTGAGTGGGACCAGAGGATGGGTTGTGGCCCAAAATACATGGGATATGACGGTTTATGAGTACGGTCAAATGATAAAATTGTCTAAACAGACGCACTTAAAAGTTTATTCTTTTACGAATTATAATTAAAATTATAAATGTAATTGTGTGTATATTTTTTTGTATATTTCTCTTCTAAGTGATAAAAATATATAAATCTGATTGCACTTAAATCTCTCCTAACTCTCCGTTGCTTAGGAGATAATTGAATGAATGAAAACCTCCTTGTCCTTAAAAGCTGTAGCCTGAGCGGTGGCCGTCAGAAACAGTTGCATAAGCACAATTCATCATAGAATAAGACTTCGTTGTTGAAATGTTAGATTCTGCTTACATCCAATTACAGATGGACACGTGTTTAAGTGTCGATCATAATTCCAATCTTTTGCTAGAGCCTAAAGGAAACTTTACACTTGTCTTTCGGCAACACGTAATTCTGACAATGGTCACCTCCTGCTTTGACCTTTGGCACACAAATTTGCATTTTAGATAGTAAATCAATCTTACTACGTAGATGCAGGCACATCAATTCCATACAAACACCTATCAGAGCATTCCTTAGGAATTGAAATTTTCTCTGGATTTCCATTCCGAAGTCGACACACCTGAAAATTTGAACCACTCAATTAAAATTCAACGGCTCCTATTAACTCATTTCCTAATAGCCCCTCCCCTTCATGTTCAAGCTCATCCATACCTCGTCCCGTCTCATATGGAATACCAATTGGCACGCGTTTTCTTTTAAAAAAAAAAACTTGGCTCTTCATACGTAAAAAATATTCGTTTGTGTCGAAAAATTACGTGTCATTTATTTGCATTGTGTTGGAATATGACCCATCACCGCATTTGTCTACCTAGTCCATAAGAAACCCAAAATAGGATGGAGTGACCACAATTTTGCCCAAAATAAGAATGGAGTACTTATTTGGTTAATTTGTTGCATCCACGACGTTGGATTCTTCCGTCGAATCGAATCGAGATATCTAAAAAGTCGACCCTCAAAAGTAGCAACACTAATTTTCTTTAGACTCAACTAAACGATCAAATCCCACAAGCCGGTTGACATCCAGCTATAAAACCTTTTACATATTCAACTTTGGTACACTACTCACCACCTCAACCCCATTTGAACAAAAGTGCTGTTTGACTAACACCAAAGGAGAATATAACCAGTGTATTAAAAGCGTGAGACGTGGGCGAGGCGTCCGAGGGATAGCCTGACCTAGGCCGCCTCACAGGACCTAAATTTTTTAACATACACACTGAACGTACACATATATTATATTAAAAAAAGAAGATTATTCATCAATAATCATCACACATATATATACATATATTATATTATATATATATATATATATATATTAAATAGAGGATAAAAAGCACAATGAACACACATACAACAATGCACGCAGACAAACACATACATCCATTATAAAAAATAAAAAATAAAAAGTAAAAAAATAAAATAAAAAAAGAAAAGAAAAAAGGGCAGAGAGACAATAGTGCAAGGAAGATATATGTGGCAGTTAAAACCCTACCCAAAATTTGGGTTTGGGAGTTAAAAAATAAAAAATAAAAAAATAAAAAAATAAAAAAAAATAAAAGCAGCCAAACAGAGACGCCTGAAAGTCCTGAGGCGCACCTCCACCGCCTAGGCGGCTCCAACGACGCCTTCTGTCGCCTTCCGCCCATTCCCTCAAAACAGAGGCAGCAACCCTCACGCCCCTGAGGCAAGCCTTTTAAAACATTGAATATAACCAACAAACAGAACCACTAAACCAAAATGCAAATTTTACATCAATCTAGAACAGAGAAGAAGTTCAACCTGCCTTCGGGAATAGACTAAATTGACTTCTTTCTTTCTTTCCTTTCAAATCACTTTTGTTGGGTTTTTGCCATTTTCTCTAGTTAAATTTATACCGCACTTTGCTAATCTTGAAGTTGTGTGTGGAAGAGCCATAAGGTTGAAAGGTATTCTGGTTAGACTGCGGCATGCGGTTATCTTTATTTCAACAGAACATAAAAGCCAAATAATCCAAACTCATTCTAGTTTTCCAAGTCCTATCAGATTATTTATTCGGTTGTTCCTATTTTTAACAATTGTGAGATATGCACAATTAGATAGCATGTCCCCAAACATTCAATAGGTAAAAGTGTAACGATGTTGGTATATAACTCAATGTGAGCACAACAAACTGTCTGAAAGTCAAATGAACAGCACTAGCAAACACAGAAGACAAACCTATTGTTGGAAAGACCAAAAAATAGCAACAGATCTAATGATATGCAAGAATTTAGATTGATTCTTTGATTCATGCGTTCAACTGTGTCAAGAGAACAAATAACAAGTTCCCCGAAGAGAAGGCCAAGTATACAAACATACCCATCATGAGTTATGCCTCGAGGGAAAAGTCTTTCCGTATCAGGCAATCAGGTGCAAACATGAAACCATCATTGACCACCACCACGAGTTTGCAACCTCCTCCTCTCCAGCTCAAGCTAAAACAAAAATCAAATATATTAGCAAAGGAACACAGTGTGCTCATGCCTATGTTTCCCTTATGAAAAATAAATCTAAAATATAGTGGTATTTTTCAAGTATCTTACCACTTTCTTCACCCGCTCATTGGCAGCAGGAGTTCCTCCACTGACAGACTCGGGAGTATATGGACTGCTTACACGGACCTCATTCATCACAACTATAACAGTCTTGTCCCAGCGCACTGGAAGCCTGATCATCACCATCATCAATGGCACCCAGTGATCATCATCATCATCAACGGCACTCAGTCCACAAAATGTAAATTTCCAAACTTTTAAAATATAAACTTCTTACCAAACCTAGGACTGATTTACATTGCAACTGATGCTATAAAATATTATATTTTTCATCCGTTCTCGTGCAAGACTCATAATCATTCAAAAGTTCTCTAAACAAATGAAAATGCCATAAAAATGATCGTCTCTCCTCAGATGTTCTGACCGAAAACCTCATAAATTCCTAATCTTTAAGCTACTGAAAAGTCCAATTCTTATTAGAAGCTCCAATACAATCAGCTTCATGCAACAACATTTGCACTTTACAGTAAAATGGGTTGTTTTTGCTGATATCATGATGCAGAAACAGCAATCCTCATAATTTTAGTTGCAACTTAAATCAGCAAGAACTGAGTAAAAACAACTCACGTCTTAGACAAGGCATCGAAAATTTTCTGCGCCTGGCCAGTGACCCCAACGCCTATCCTCTCCGACTCTGCCTCCGCTTGTCTGCAACCCAACACAAAACCCAACACTTCAGCAATCATCACTCAAAGACATTTCCCAATTGGATCATCAAATCAATTACCTAATCGCCAGTTCCTCCCTGGCTCGCAGACTATTGAGATCAAGGTAACACTTTTTGATATCAAGTGGGTCTTCCGCCTGACCCAAGTACAACAGCTCCTTTATATAGTTGGCCTTCAGCAGCCGTATGTTCCGCCGCGCACCGCCTTTCAAACCCTCTTGTGATCCCAAAAGTTAAAGAAGAATTGCAAGAAAGATCACATTTTTTCTAGGGTTTTAAGAAAAATTTGAAACGAAATTACTGACTGAATTAATAAATTGCGAACGGTGAAAGGATATGAATGACGACGATGTTGGAGGGGCGATCGAAGGTGATGACTTGGCCTTGGAACTCGTCGCTTAGCGTGGTCTTGATGGAGACCAAGCACCCGATGGCCAACTCCTCTGTGAAGCCGCCATCCATGGCCATGCCTTATTTTTCCCCAGATTGGAGTTCTGATTTTGTGATACAGAAGCCCTAGTTAATTTCGTTGCTCCTAATATTTTAGTGGGCTCCTGATCCAAGGTGGGCTTGCACTTGGCCCAAATATTTGTGATCCAATGCAAAACATTAGCTTTACAGTGGGTCTTTTTTTTTTGTTTTTTTTTTTGGTAATTACAGTGGGTCTTTGTACACTTTTTATCCATGGACACCAAGTCACCAACCAATTTTTCTTATTTCAAACACCATTTTATCCAATGTTAAATTTACCAAAATACTCAACTAAAAATTGGTTTTAAGAAAATACTTTATCTTTATTAGAGAGATAATACAAATGATGGTAGAAGATGGCGAAAGTCTGCCCTAACCACTAGCTTTACTCAAATTCGTTCATGTCTTTTATGGGATAAATGATACTTATGTGAAGCAATAGATTTTGGGTTGTTTACATTCTACTTAAGACTTTAAATGACAAGCATATTAACAATTTATGTAATTGAAGTGTTGTTACTATGAGTAATCGTATATATAAATGATATGTTGGTAACATGTATTGATATTGGATAGTTGGACATGTTACATAATCAGGCATCCTAGTCCAAGATATTTCAGTATTAAATTTCTTTGAACTGGATTCTCATTTCTTGTACTTCATTTCTACTTGTTTATCAAGAATCCGGTAAAAAAAAAAAAAAATAGAGCTATCATTAACCCTTTGCTTTGGTTCCTTCGACGGTGCTTTGAAGCAAAATATGTCTTGTCACTCTCTCATCTTCTTCACCTCGGTATCACTCTGCAGCAGCGGTCCTTCTCCTTCACAATACAAATTTTGGAGGATGATTCTCTACCCTCCTATTCTCATCCCCTTCCATCCATTTTTTTTACACATTGTTTTTTATTTTATCTCTATAAAAAAATCAATATAAGATGTTGATGTGGTTTAACTGTGACGTTCAAATAGAAAGACATAGAATGATAGAGAGATTAAAAAGGTAAAGAATCCTCCTCCTTCGTAAAACTTGGGGGCAGGCAAGCAAGCAAAGCTCTTTTCTCTCTCTCCCTTTTATTTCAATTTCTTTTATATACATTTCATCAGACCGTACGTGGAATCGAATACAGGAGAAGGGTTTTTGTGGGATGAGACGTCATTGATAGCGGTTTTTCAGAAAGAAGATCATGTTTAATTTAAATGTACTTATTAATATCGAGAATAACGCAACTCTATATAAATACATGTCAAAATCTCTAACATCTCAAAGATTGAATTTACACTCTCAACGGTTCGTTGAACATAAGTTTCTTTTCCATACCAAAAAAAAAAAAAAAGACATGCCCCCACATCCCCCTCACTTTGACATTTTTGCCCTAATCGTGGGTCATCTGAGCTGGCCACCACTCCATACATCCGGCCATGGCGTTCAATGTTTGATATAATTCAATTCATTGCATATAGATTCGGTTAAAAAAAAAAAAAAATCATTACTCATAGACTAGAATATTTTGGATTAAAAAAAGACGAAAATATTTATTTCCAGACTTAATTGGTAGTATTTCTTTTTTAATTTTGTACGTACCTTAAAAAATCAGTCCAAATTATTGCTGTACTTTTTTGCAGCTTCTGTGATTCTGAATTCTGTCGATACAACGTTTTTCATTTATTTATTCGTCTCATGGTTTGGTTCCCTTTGGGTTTACTGCGGCACTGCCAGCACAACGTGCATGGCTGTATGTTTGTTTTTCCATGTTTATATAACTAGGGTTTCACTGACCAATATATATAAAATTAGGGTTTTAAAATTCGATGCTGTTTTGGAGTATGAAATATATATTTATAATGATTAGATTTTAATTTTTGTGTTCTATATATTAATGTATATGGTTGACTAGCTGGCCAATCAAATCACACATGCTTAGCTAGATGGCTCCTGCAAGTGCTCCATATCAAGATGCATGGATCTATCTTGCTAGAGCTGATCAGTTTAGTGGGAGTTTTTTTAATCATAAATTTCCAAATCAGAGGACTCCATGCTGAAAAATTATGACTTAAGAGGGAAGAAGAAACTTCGCTCTCGAGTGGGTGAAAGGAAGTCAAATTCGGCGGTGTAAGCCATCGCAATGATGCTAAAACGTCTTCTTAATTACTACTTGTTTTCTAATATAGTATGTAGATTAAGCGTCACTATGTCAAATCTTCATCAACTCAACTAATATTGTAGAACTCTGATGTTACTCTCATGTATAAGATGTTCTCAAAACTTTTTTTAATTAACAACTACAGCTCATAATTTGAACTCAGATATTACTTTATAATATGCAGATTGAATGTCACTAAACTAAATCACCATCAAAAGATATTGCGGAACTTATGGTATTTTATGTGTGCCCCTTTCCTAGATTGCATCTGAATCATTGTTACTAATTTTTTCACTACAAATTGTCAATAAGGCGAGCCGTAGCATGACTCATAAGAAAATCAAAGGTTATGTGTTTCACTACAGTTTAATGGCTCATTGGAGAAGTGCTTTTAAGTTATTGAAAGTGCTTTTAAAGAAAATACTTTTTGGTTCAAAAACACTTAAAGTATTTCTTATAAGAAACACATATATGGTGTTTCTTCCATGATTAACTTGCATGTTTACTAAGGTTTGATTTAAAAAACATTTTTTTTAAAAACATTTTCAATTGTTCCAAAACACTTTTCAAACGAGCTCTAAAATTGTTGTTTAAGACCTTTTTGTACTGGTATTTTTATACGCAAATCATTTTTGAATTTCTTCTCGTTAATTAAGAAGCAGTCCTGTCCAATAAAACATGTTTTACTTTTAATTATGATAATTTGAGTGCTTGATACAAAATGCTAACAATTAAGGAGGACTACATGTGTCATTATATTTGAGGTTGACATATGTTAAATTACTCCACCGACTCTAATGGCTTAATCATGTGAAAAATATATACAAACATGTCCTAATGTATGATGTGAAAGTGATGATGATGGGTAAGGGTGAAGCTTGATGTATCGATTAGGTAAGAGAGTGACATAAATAATGAATTCAGATCATCGTTGGATCTGTGAATCATACTCGTTCATTATACATCGTACAATTATAAATTATTTTAAATAATTTTATTTAAAATTAAATACAAACAGTACTTAACAAAAACTAACTGTACCATATACGATAAACAGATACGATAAAAATAATAGCTGTTGGATAAATAATGATATAATATGCGATGCAGGTGAAATATCCCTCTCTTTAGGCTGTTATCTAGCTAGCTTCACATGATTGTTATGAGTCGGATAGTTTGTAGGCACATTTTTAAAATAACATGGTTGGCCTTAATTGGAAAAAAAATTAAGTAGGTGGATTTTTGGTATGGTAATTAATTTGCTAAGAGTCAATATCAAGGAGTTACTTCCATGAAGGATGTAGAACTAGCTAGAAACTTTAACCATCCATTTAGGGTTATGACCCAACGAACAATCCGTATCAACATTAAGTCATTGACATGTACCAAAAGGGTTTCATATACTAATAGTTTCAATCTCATATGAGTATGATGTCGCATACAACAATTTCACTCAAAACTCTCCCTTTTCATAAGTGGGATTTCACATGACTGTAGCTGAAGGTGAATACTTAATTTGTTGCCTATATATGATCAGATACTGTTGATATATAGTTGATATCAGATGTCATTATGGTGTTGATATGGATGTTGACATGTTTTTACAACATATTGATATAATTTTGGTATATTTCCACATTTTGTCAATGTGTTATCTGATGACTATTGAAATATTGTCCAGTATCTTGCTTCAGCTACAAGGGAGCAAAATCCTCTTAAGAAGGATGAAGCAACTAACGAAAATGGTGAGACTTGTAAGGTAATTCTATTTAGGGCTCAAAGCTATCAATAATTGCAATGGTTAGAGAACACACTTTACGGCTCAAAGACGATCATATCCTCACGCAGCCTCTGGTTGTAAGGGAATGTTCCACTAAAAGAAGGGCAATTTGAGGTTTTTACTGTCCCAAAGTACAGAGTATAGGAACTTTACCAACAGTTTACATACCTACACATCCTAGACAAAAGGAAACGGAACAAATAATTATATTCTTTTGTCTGAAGAAAACAAAAAAGCCAGCCCAAAAATGAATGTATAAAAAAATCAAAGGTCTCTAAAAAAAAAAATAAAAACCTGAAAAAAGAAAGGGCAAAGCAGAAGCGGAGCTGGCGAAGAGGCGTGAAGACAACAAATCACAAAACCAAAAAAATGGTCTGGATTTGGAATTAGTTGGCTAACCAGAGAGATAATGGGGTTTCTCTCTACGTGTCTTTGACTGAATCAATCACCCCACGAACAAGCATCTCTCTCTCTCTCTCTCCCCCTCACCGTCTCTCTCTTAAACCTTAATCCAGCTCAAGAAAAAAAAAAGCACTTTTCTTTCTTCCTCTCAGCTGATAGTTTAAGCATTTTACCAGAAAGAAAAGCCAAAAAAAAAAAAAAACTCACTTCCTCTCTAGAACCTTAATCCAGCTCAAGAAAAAAGCACTTCTCTTTCTTCCTCTCAGCTGATAGATTAAGCATTTTGCCAGAAAGAAAAGCAAAAAAACAGTTTTTGAAATGGGAACAACAACAAGCCCTTTCAAAGACCAATATCATCACTCATCATCTCTTGCTAAAAAGCTCTTGCCTTATGCAATCTATGTCCTCCTCCCCATTGCTGTAATCCGCTTGTACTTCTACACTCCCTCTCCCTCTCTCTCCTCCACAGATCACCTCCCTCACTCCACTGAAATTACCATCTCAACCTCCTCCTCCTCTTCTTCTTCCTCTCCTTCCCCATTGCCCCCCGTTTCCTCCTCTCAAGGTACTTACTAAAAGCACTTTTGTCTGCACTAGCTTTTATTTAATTTTTTCCGGTTGGTTTTTCTTCTAGGTACTTAGAGTTTGAATCTTTATCATAGATAACAAATATTTTGCCTGAATTTTTTGTTGGGTTTTTTCTCTCTGCAGAAGAGGAAAAGGCTAAAGAAACTACACCTTCATGTGACTACACCAGGGGCAAATGGGTCCATGAGAAGCTGGGCCCTTTGTACAATGGCACAACCTGTGGGACAATCAAGGAAGGTCAGAACTGCATCACCCATGGAAGAACTGATTTGGGTTATCTCTACTGGAGGTGGAAACCCAGCAAGTGCCAGCTTCCCAGGTTTGAACCCAGCACTTTTCTCCATCTCATTAGCAACAAGCACATAGCTTTTGTGGGGGACTCCATGGCCAGGAACCAGTTGGAGTCCCTCCTCTGCCTGCTTGCCACTGCCTCTCCTCCCAACCTTGTTTACACAGATGGGGAGGAGAACAAGTTTAGGAGATGGAATTTTCCATCCCACAATGTCAATGTGTCAGTTTATTGGTCACCATTTCTTGTGAAAGGGGTTGAGAAATCACCAAATGGTCCGAATTATAATAAATTGTATTTGGATCAAGTTAATGAAAGGTGGGCTGCAGATTTGGGGGGATTTGATATGATTGTGTTGTCAGTTGGGCATTGGTTTTTGCACCCAGCAGTGTATTTTGAGGGGGATGATGTTCTGGGGTGCCATTTTTGCCCTGGATTAAATCACACTGAGATTGAATTCTATGATGTGTTGAGGAAAGCTGTGAGGACTACTTTCAATACCATAATTGAGAGGAGAGGGAATGGGAATGGGATTGATGTGGTTCTGACGACGTTTTCGCCTGCGCATTTCGAAGGGGAATGGGACAAGAATGGGGCTTGTTCAAAGACCAAACCCTACAAGGAGGGGGAGAAGCAGCTTGAAGGAATGGATGCTGAGATGAGGCAGCTGGAGGTGGAAGAAGTAGAGGCTGCTAGGGCAAATGGTGAGAAATTTGTAGGGTTTAGGCTGGAGGCATTGGATGTGACTAAATTGTCCTTGATGAGGCCAGATGGGCATCCAGGGCCTTACATGAATAAGTTTCCATTTATTGATGGGGTTCCTGAGAGGGTGCAGAATGATTGTGTGCATTGGTGCTTGCCAGGCCCTATTGACACATGGAATGAGATTCTGCTGGAGGTCATGAAGAAATGGAATCAGGGGAAGTGAATGGAGGAGAAGAACTTCCACGTAACGGTGATGCTACTGTGACGGTATTCCAAGCCGCACTTCCATTTGCTGATTGGGTTCCTGATTGGTTGGGAACAGTGACGCAATTGCATCCCCGTTGTGGTTAAGTTCCTCTCAAGACTTAAGGAGAGCAAAATGAGTTATTAAAGAATCATTGGTCGGTTTTGTTTGTTTGTTTCATTCTTGTTCCCAGTATGTGTGGTGGTTATGAAGCTGCGAGAAGGCCAAAGAAGAGGAAGACAATCTGCATCGATTGGTTGTTTTGTTTGGGCTCTCTGTTGTAATGGAAGAAAACAAGAATGAGTTGATTGAAGATGTGGTGGAGAAATTTTGAGGGGGGAACAAACGAAGACGTGAGTTAGGCCGGTTGGTGTGCTTGCTTCGTTACATCCAAGTTTGGATCTCCTCCTCGTAAATTAGATTAGTTTTTGTCAAAAGAAAAACAAAATTAAGGGTTCCACAGATTACAATCTATATGGTTGGAAGGTGTACGATTGAGTTGAATTGGAAGAAGTGGTATAGAATTTTGATAGATAATTGGCAAGTCCCTGCAGTTTGTTTGAGAACTCCAAATATACCGTAAATCTTGCCACCTTTACTACAATTTTTCAGCCTTCAAATTGTGTTCCAAGCCTTTCGGAAATAATTAACTTGAATCCTTAAGATTAAGGAGATCCTCCTGAAGATAATCAAGGACTAATTCACCGAATTTTGTGCTCATGATTAAAACCGTTTTGTTATTAATTATACTGTAAAGATCATTTTTGCAAAAACATCAGTAAAATATGAGATTGTTTAATCATCAAACTATATAAAAGAATTACAAATCGTCTATTTATCTACTTTTATCGATTGACTAAACGATCGTAGTTTTAATTGATCTTTATAGAGTGATTTATAATATAAACGGTATTGATCACGAGGAACTCCTCATTCATAAGGAGCCAAGCATTTCTCCTTTTGGGAATTTGTGTGGTTGCAAGTTTGTATCTTTCTTATCGTGTCTTGCTTCCCAACTTTTATGGATATTTCTCAACGAAAAAAAATGAAAATACCTTAAAGTTTCAAAGTATCATGTAATAATATGGAGTAGTTTCAATTTCTCGTACACACAAAAGAAACTCACCTTCCAATTGGTAAAAGAAAAAGCCCTCTACCATTTCAACATACCCACAATTATCCAAAGTTAGCTACTTCAATTTGCTTCACAAATATGTTAAGATATGCACCCTTAAAATGGTATATTCAATATATCTATCATCCAATGTCCTGGGTTCGAATCCCTACCTCTTGATTTTGCTTGTATGAAAAAATGGACAATAAAATGACAATTTTGAGCATTTTTAATGTTTGGGGATAAATTCTTAAATCTAAACGATCTTTAAATCTAAATAAATTCTTCAATCTGGACGACCATAAAAATAAATATCTTTCTTTCTTACCAAAAGTTTTTGGGCCATTTGTGAAGGGACTTTAGAGGACTGCAGGCCCAAAGTTAACTTTACGTTGCTTGTGTTTTGGGCTTTTTCCCTAAATATTTCTCCAAACTCCAATGGGCTTATGCAATAAGTTATCTTTTGGAGCAGAAATAACAGCTTTTTCTGTGCAGTTGACAGGAAAATCCATAGGAAAAGTAGAAGAAAATGGGATTACAGAAGATTTCAACTCCATACAAACAAGTAATAGAAGCAAGCAAGTAGACATTGAGCTACTGTTTTTCTTTCCATGGCTGCAACTATTTCGCTCTCTTTCTCTTTAGATCCACAGCGGTACCACCACCACCGCCACTGCCATCTCTTCTCCGTCACCCACCACTTCAAACCCCACCAAAACCTTCCCGTCACTCCCTCTACCTCCTCAACTGTTCTCCCCAAGTACTCACTTTCTATTTTCCCCAAGTCAGACCGTTTCGCCTTCAAATCCTCCTCCTCCCCATCTCATTCTCCCACCACCACCACCGCCACCACCACAGCTGCTGATTCCACGACTACCGATTCCACCACCACCACTACTGATTCCGATACTACTACTTCAACAACTTCGTCATTTCTCGAATACCCTCTTAGAACAGGTAAGTTTCTGAGCAGTGAAGAGCTCGAGCAGCTCAAACGCCTCGAGGATTTCAGGTACTACCAGGAATTGGAATCTGGGTCGATGTGGGTTCGGGTGATGAGGCCGGAGGAGTTGGACATCACCGTCGGGTTGCTCGCCGAGTCGTTCGCGGAGTCGATGCTTTTGCCTTCTGGGTATGTGTCTGTGCTGGGCTACTTGGTCAAGCAGTACTTGTTTGAAAGAATGGAGCTTCTTCCCAACACCGCCACGCTCATCGCGTTTTACAGAAGAAGAAAAGAAGAGGGCAAAGAAGAAGAAGAAGAACAACTGGAAGAAGTAGAAGAAGAAGATGAAGTTGAGCTTTTGGCGGGGACGGTGGAAGTTTGCTTTAACAAAAAGGGTGCCGTTGCCTCGCCTCCTACACCAACTCCTCCCAAGAATTCGCCTTATATTAGTAACATGGCGGTGAAAAAATCGCTTCGGAGGTTTGTTTTGCTTCCCCAAGTGAAGTTTTACTTTATCAATTGTTGTTTCTTGGGCATGTTATGTTCTCGGCGTAATTGCATTGCATTGTATTCTTGTCGTAATTTGCAGATTGAATGCGTTTGGTTTTCGTAATTGTATTGTTTTTTGAACTGACTGATTACAAAACTACACTCATATAACACCAGATTCAGAAAGACAAAGCTTTAGTTCACTGTGTCACAAACGAGACTTGATATAAGATTATGACTTCGTAAATTTTCAGGAGGGGCATCGGATGGCATCTTTTGAAGGCAAGCGAGGAACTAATCTCGCAGATGAGTTCCTCAAGAGAGGTGTACTTGCATTGCAGGATGATTGATACAGCTCCATTCAACATGTATAAAAAAGCAGGATACGACATTGTAGAGACGAATACCATTTTGGTTTTGTTGCTGTTGCAGAGGCGCAAGCACTTAATGTGCAAGAAACTTCCAGTGTTAACCAACTTTTCAGAATCGGATACATTCTGTTCTGAAGAGGAATTAACACGATGAGTGTTTATGTGAAAATCATAATATGTGTCTCTGAGGTACATGCAGTTACTGCTTTGTATTGATAAATCATTATGCAGCAAAATCTCATACTGTTGCCTTGTTCCTTAAATCCATTGCTTTGCTCAGGATAGATGATTAAAGGCCTTGAGGTTGTCAAGATTATCCAGCTGGGTTGTCTTTTGCGTAGAATGCTTGATCCTATGTGCCGATTGCTTGCATTTTGTAATGTGTATGGTAGAGACTTGGTTTGTTGCAGGTAATCTCATCAGTCATTTCTATTTGTTGTATGTTGTATGTAGTCCTAGGGACCTAGACTTCTAACCTTAATGCAAACATATAGTTCAATGACCATATCCACTCTCGTTTTGGTACATGTGAGTTAGATATTGAAGGATTCAAGTAAATAGAGTAGGGAACTATAGAGATATATGAAACAGTAGTATTATTCTTTCCGCCTTGTGATTTGTAGGCTCGTATGGAAGACATATAAAGTACAAATTACATATACTCTCAGTTTACAATACATAATTTACGAAAGGTTACAAAGTTTCCAAACATAGTGATACAAGAAAATGATCCCCTCTTAGATTGGAATCTCATTCATTATTAATTTACATCGTAGGCTTTCTTGATCTTGTACACGAAAACCAACTTCAATTTGATTGTTTTGTGATGAATTCTCTGTCTAATATATCTACTCAACTGCATTTTGTATTTCTCAATCCTTATCGAATTCTCTTTGTGGGTCTTGTTTTTGAGATCATAGGTCACCAAGCTATGAAGATTCAACAATTCTTTTATTAGCAGAAGTAAAGGATTTCGATTATGTTGTACCTTGTCTCCATCCTGCAATTAGAACATGTGTTTATTAGGAGCCACAGCCACTCCCAAGCCTTTCGCATTTGTATAGATAATCAACTGGAGCTCTTTTACACATTCTGCCATGGAGGGTCTCTCACTGCTCTCCGGACGCACACATCTTGATGCCAGGTTTGCAAACATAGCTATAGATTCCATGTTGTATGAACTTCGACCCAACTCAGAATCTATCACCTTACGCAGTTTCTTCCTATCATTCAATATGTGTCTTACCTGAAACATATGAACTTTAGTCATGTTTACTTTAACAACCTAATGTACTTAACCAGCATAATAAGTAGGAGTGAGAAAATATATACTCTACCTGTAGCACTAGGTTTTGATCGTTTGGTCCCAGGGTAATGTCAACGGCTTGACGTCCAGTCAGAAGTTCAAGAAGAACCACTCCAAATGCATAAACATCGCTTTGTAAAGTGAGTTTTCCAGTCTGTTTCCAAATACACCTCTTGTTATGTAACATTGGTTTTTCCATGAATAGTGTGATCAAAATTTCTTACAAGCATTCATTTGAGATGGGTGGTTGTGAATTAAATGAATAAGAGTGAAAATTACAGGAAGCAGCGTGCATCACAAGCATATAAACATGCCGGTTATGAAATTTCTGGAGAAAATCCGCCTTCGTGTCAAACTATATTGTTTTTGTTCGCTTTTTTTACAGTACTGAACGCAGAGAAGTTGCAGAATGCATGAATTTCGATGCATTATATCGTTTGAGAAACAAAATTTAATGCAGCCATATGGAATGTTCAAAGATGCGTACCGATGTATACTCGGGATCAAAATAGCCGAATGTTCCGAGCACTCTAGCAGTCACGTATATTTCCTTGCCCTCCGGCATCATCTTGGCGAGTCCAAAATCGGATATCTACATGAAATCGTGATTAAATTTGAGCTCTATATGTTTTGTTCAAAGTTCAAAAGCAACGTGAGGCAAAATTTCAAATCAAGCAAACACGTTTTTACCTTTGCTTCAAAGTTGTCGCTTAAAAGAATATTGGTGGATTTGAAATCTCTGTGGACAATAGGAATCCCAACAGCAGAACTAGAGTGCAGATATGCTAGTCCCCTTGCTGCTCCAAGTGCCACCTTGAGCCGTCGAGGCCAATCCATTTTCGCTTCCCCGATCCCTGTCGTACGATTAAAGATTGTTCCGAAGATTAGCAAACTGATTGGTTATTCTCATGTGAATTAAGCATATGTATGCATTCCTAGTTGAAATCCAACCATTTAAGTGATCTTGCAGGTTCCCTTTCTGCATATATTCATACACCAGAAACCGTTGCTTCCCGTCAGCACAATAGCCGATCAAAGAAACCAGATTTGGGTGTTCAAGTCTGCTCAAGATATCTACTTCCACCCGAAATTCTCGTTCTCCCTCAGCTGCTTTGAAAGGTGGCAGCTCCATTTTCTTGATGGCTACAACCTTTACATTCCCAAACAGAGCACACATCAGTATGCTCCTGGACAACTGAGTTGTTCATAAATCCAGAAACTCATTCCTGCAACGAAACATACCTCTCCTGACCGCAAAGTTCCCCGGTATACACGCCCAAATCCTCCTTTCCCGAGCAGATTTTCTTCACTGAAGGAACATGTTGCCTCTTCCATTTCTTTGAGTGTGAAAATTGACGAGCCATGATGGTGTCTTTTCGTCGGTTGGGGGGTTTGATCCTCGAGCTGCCAGTACTCCACCGGTTTATAAATCCCTGAAAGGGGATCACACGCAAATCATAACAAAACGTTGGCAACGAACACCCGCAAACAAAGCTGCAAAGAAAGAGAAGAACAATTAGAAGAAAGAACATACAAGGGTCCGTAAGGTCGTGGGACTTCGACCGCCGACGCTTGTTCCATGCCGAAACTAAACCGAAAGGCATAATGTCTCTTTAAGTTTGATCCAGTTTTTTCTCAGGACTGAGGATTGAAATGCATGAGAGGGTAGAAAACGAAATCGAAATTTTCGTAATTTGAAAATTACAGAAGAAAAAAAATATATATATTACGAGAATTGGGTCGAGAGTGTACGTATAGAGCAAGTGAAGTTAAATTAGGAGAGGAGAGTACTCAACAAATCATCCGCCAACAACCCTAAAACGGTAGCTCTCAAAAAAAAAAAGAAAAAGGGAAAGTTGGGCATTGCTTTTGCTTGCTTAATATTGGATGATGAGGAAGTTGTTTGACAAGGAAATTGAAGCTACTGCAACATCTCTTGTTCCTTACATTTTTACGATTTAATTTCTCAAAATAAAAATAAAAGAAGGGTTTGCAGTTGAGAGGGTGCTTTCATATCTGTTCATCTCATTTTTTTTTTGTTGTTGTTTTATTTGTTACTATTTTCTAATTTTTGAAAATTTGACATGGAGAAATATTATAATGTCAGTCGCAATCAACACCCAAATGGGACCCAAAAGTTTGATATTATTCCAATCTTTCGTTTTGAAGTTACTTCCCAGTTCCTATATTTTTGAAGTTACTCAAAAGCATCACATATCGATCGATGGAGTGCTAAAAAGTAATAAGGTTATCCAGAATCCCACAAGTGATAGTTGTGTGTGTGCCAACGATGAACTTTTTCTAGATTCTAGACCAAATGAATAGCAATTCTTTTCTGGTTGTGTGAAAAGGAGGCCAGGACATTACAATGTGTATGCTCACGTAAATCCTAACGTCTCGTTTGATATTTCGAATTGTATTAAATATTTAGTTAAATGATTAATTTGTGCATCGAACATAATTGATTATCTAGTTCGGTGTTTATCAGATGGGTAAATAATGCAAGGTGTATCTCTGACACACCAAATGTAGACTAATTTACTAAACAAAGCGAAAAAAGAAGCAACATCAAGAAACGTGAAAAGAAATAAGATAGCATTAACATTAGTAATGTTTTTCATGTGTCCTCACGCATAACATTAATGATTCATTTGAAAACCGTCTCTTCCATTTCATATATGGTTGCAGTGTCGAGCAAACTCGCCTCTAACTTAGGTGAGTCGTCCTAATCTGCTAATATCATCTATACAACAGGTACATAATGTTGAAAATTTGTATGAAATGATTAAGTTACATAACTCAATTGTTGAACGGATCAAACTTAAATACTAACGATACATATGTTGACGTTATATCAATCGAATATTGACAATAAATTGATCAAACATTAATAAGGTATCGATTAACATTAACGACAGATCAATCAAATATTGAAAAGTGATACATTTCAATAAAACAATTTGATGAACGATAAGATAATCTACACTAAATTCATCTAAACTACGAAAAAAGAGAATCGAACACGGGACTTCAAGTCAAAGAGCAAATGTGTTCTTAATCAGCTAAGCTACAAATCACTTGCAATACTAATACATTTCAATAATTGAAATTTGTAAACTCACCATTTCAGTCAATTTTCTAATAATTGTGAAAATTGATTTGAAAATGTGAATGCTCCTTTAATTGATATTTTATCAAATAGCAAAACACTGCCAAACGACAAATTTGTAGCTAGGTTTAACATTTTCCTATTCTTTTAAGTGACGCCTGCAAACCAAAAACACCAATTAAAGTATTGGGTCCTTCTCCCATTCCTTGCACATTCATGATGCACGTGAATGGCATGCTATCAGTTTTTGTGGTGTTTCTGAGGGAGGTTAATAAAGTGGCAGTTGAGCTTATTCCTACTGAATTTAAGACCTCCAAAGCACTCAAACTAGTATATATATGGATCCCTAATTCTCAGAAATCTCAAGCAATTCTTTAAGAAAATCAGTCAATTTCCTCTGATTACATTCTTGTTATAGCCAAAGCTACCACATCCATATATATAAAATGGCTTCATGTGATGGAAAGCTTGAAGTAGAAGTTGAGGTGAAGTCTCCTGCTCAAAAGTTTTGGGAAGCCCTTAGGGACTCCACCATTGTCTTCCCCAAGGCATTTCCTCATGACTACAAAAGCATCGATGTCCTCGAAGGCGATGGCAAAGCTGTTGGATCCGTTCGGCTTATTACATATGCTGAAGGTAGTTACATGCATATATTATCTTACTATGTACTTAAATTATAAATTCACGTACGTCTGAGACAAATTTACAGCTTGACGAGGGAACACTTCCTTATAAATAATGTATGTCCTTGCCGGCAGGTTCTGCACTTGTGAAAGTATCAAAGGAGACGATCGATGCAGTGGATGAAGTCGGAAAGGCGGTTGCTTACAAGGTGATCGACGGAGATCTGCTCAAGTACTACAAGAGCTTCAAGTGCACCCTAACCGTGACTCCCAAGGGAGACGGGAGCTTGGTGAAATGGTCGTCTGTGTATGAGAAAGCACACGAACAGGTTCCCGAACCAAGCATCATCAAGGATTTTGCTGCCAAGAACTTCCTGGAGCTGGATGCCTATGTTCTGGCTAATTAATTATTTGCAAGCTTAAATAAGCTAGCTTTGAAGATCATTGGAGTTTTTCCTTAATAAATAATGGCCAAATAAATAAGATGAGTCGAAGTGTGCATGCTAATGCACAAAGCTGGTTTGATCTAAACCCTAATCTGTAAGCAGATTGCACCCTATAATATTTTTCGGTTTGGAGATTGCACCCTATAATGTTTCAATGTTTGTGTCCACTCACTTTTACTTTTATCGCACGTACAATTTGAAAGAAGGAAAAGAAAAACATGTCATTTGGAAGAGAAATGTTATTCATACCATATTTTTATACCATCTTAGGTGGCATCTGATGTGGATAGTAACATCATTTGAAAAATTTGCAAAACCTAAGGAAAGGAAGGAGAAAGACTCCTCGTATACCATAATTATCATTTAATTAATGAGTAATGCTATTCATATCATGTTTTTATATCACATTTCTATATCGCCTTAGGTGGTATTTGATGTGGACAACCATATCATTTGAAAAATTTGTAAAACCCAAGGAAATGAAGGAGAAAGACTCCTCGTATATCACAATCATCATGTAATTAACTAGTTTTTCTTAATTATTAGTTTATTAAATAATGAACTAAATTTAAAAATCTAATTAATTCAAATGATGTGGCTACCCACAACAAATTCCACTTAAAGTGATATGAAAATGTGGTACAAAAATATGGTATAAATAGAATTACTCTTAATTAACTAGTTTTTCTTAATTATTAGTTTATTAAATAATGAATTAAATTAAAAAATCTGATTAATTCAAATGATGTGGCTGTCCACATCAAATGCCACGTAAGATGATATGAAAATGTGGTACAAAAATATGGTATGAATAGCGTTACTCCATTTGGAATAGCAGTACTTTTTTTTCTAATTTATTTATTTTTGATTTTTTTTTTAAATATAAAGATTTAACTGGTTACTTCACCATGATAATCCAACCTTTTAGTGGTCGAAAAAACTCACAGCATTACTTTAATTTTTGAGTTTGGAGGTAAGTTAACTAAGGACAGAGTGAGTTACCTCATTGGGAAGGAGATACTCTCCGGATCTCTTCCACCAAAGTTACCGGATCAAGTGATATTGCCTTTGAAATTTTATCTAACGGCCCACTTGTTTTGATCTCTTAAAAACTATAATAATTTTTTTACTGTTGGATGAAATTTTAAAGATCCGAATCAATTGATCGAATAACGTTGGTGGAAGAGATATGGAGATGATCTATTTCCACCTCATTGTACCCAATGATCAATTCCCTTGTCAGAGCCTACCAACCGCCTTTGATCACATTTATTTCCTCTTTTGCCTACCTCTTTTCTAACGCTTAGTTATTGTCTAAAGATAAGTCAATAAGAAAAGTAGTAGTTAAGTGGAGTCACTTATTTATAAGGTTTAATAAAAAAAGAAAGATTCGAACAAAAATTTAAGATCGAGACACAAAATTATTATTTTGCTCAATTAATTGTGCATATTAAGTAATGTGAATTTGATAGATGTACCCAAAAATAAAAGTATGAAATAATTATAGTATTTTTTTTAGTATATCTATATTTTTACACTAAGGGGAGGGGAAGTTCGGCTAAGCCACACAATGGGCAGCTTAATTTGGTATCAAATTTGTCATCCACGAGATTCGAACCTAATACCTCTCACTTCTAAGTGAAGATGAATACTACCAAACCGTAGTACTAAGTGACTAATTATAGTTAAACTGTAAGAGGCTTTTTGCTACCTTACAATTTAATGTCAATTTTCATGTCAACATTATAGGACATTATGCCAAAAATATAAGATGACAGAGTTCATAATGAATCCCACTTTTGAGATAATCCACCTAGCATTTTAAAAAAATAATAATAAAAATAAGCACGATGATTTTGTGCTATGAATTTAGACTAATTAAGTTGGAAAAGGATCCTTGCCGGATCCTTTTCCTGGTAATTCTAGGGATCTCTTGATCGTGACCGTTCATCATACATCGTGTGATCAGTTTTCATTAGGTGCTATTTATATTTAATTTTAAATTTTAAATTTTGAAATGATTTCTGACTGCATGATATACGATGCACGATCACGATCACAATCACGGGATCCCTAGTATCTCCAGAAAAATGATCTGGCAAGAATCCTTTTCTAATTAAATTCACATGGTACGTGAATCAGAACTCAGTTTTGTCAACCATAGTTCCAAACACAAACACAAAAACTAAAAACTAAAATTAAAAAAAAAAAAAAAAATATATATATATATATATATATATATAAAGGTAGTTTGAATACTGAATGAAGATCATTTCCGAATCCTCTTTGTGAGGATCCATCGTTTCTGTTCATCGTACATTGTGCGGTTAGTTTTTATCAAGTACTATTTGTGTGTAATTTTAAATAAAAATATTTAAAATATTTACGATGAATTGACACGATGAGAGGATCCGAAGAGAATCCTCGTTCTTTGAAAACTATTTCGTTTGCTCATATGCCCTAACCCTAAGCATTACTCTCGTGACCTAGACTTCACCTGTTTACTGCAACAAGTCAAGTCGGTCCATGCGTGAACCTAGCAATTTCCCACTTGTTTATTACGTTGCTTTTTGTCTAAGTCTCATTTATCATGTAAATCAAATGTCGCAATTGAATCTCTCCATGGAGATTTTCCGACCATAATAATGTTGTTAGACTCAGAATTTTCTTTCAAGAAGACTTGGTCTTTGTCCAAAAATATCCTTCACGAGGGAACTTAGAAGCTAGTTCAATTCCCATGTGTATCCTACACACCGGAGAGAACCACTACCATGACACATATGGAGAGATAGAAAATATAGGACTCGGAGACAAAGACTTAAAGCCTATAAATGGCAAATTAACCCATCAACGTAGTCGGGAGGATAGGCATGAGCGACAAAGTTCTTTTTTCCAGCACCACCCTCCTTCGTCACTGTTGGTAAGAAGGTGACATCATATTTCTGAGCACTAATAACGTTAAAAAAGAAAGAGGTGGGAACTTTCTGAACCACAATTGTAAGTTTGGACTTGTAAGTTTTTCTAGATTGTTGTTGAACCTAGTTGTTGGGTGGGAACTTACTGAACCACAATTTCCAGTTAGAAAAGATAAGAAACGGGACGTGTACGCTCACTTTTTAACGTATTTCTCTGCTGCTTCAGCTTCTCCATGCATCCGAAACTAGGCGGGAACGAAACAGACAGGATGGCGTTGTTGGCCATCAAAGCTCAGATGGAACGAATCATATCACTTCTGCCTATGACAAGGTGTCATATGCAGCCAACGACATCAACAATGGATCACTAGGTTAAACCTAGGGAACCAAAGCTTGTTGGGTACCATATCCCCACACATAGGAAATCTAAGCTTCCTCAGGGTACTACATTTGAGCGACAACCATTTGTCGGTCAAATCCCACCAGAAGTCGGGCGTTTGCGCAGATTGCAGGTATTAAATTTGACCCAAAACTCACTCACTGGTGTTATTCCTGTCAATTTGTCAAATTGTCTTTACCTCATCGGTTTCTATTCGGGCTCCAATCAGTTGGTGGGTAAAATTCCTATAGAGTTTGGCTCCTTCCCTAAACTTGAAAAACTTGTTCGTCAACGCAACACTTCGTCAGGAGCAATCCCTGATTCCTGGGGAACATTTCATCACTTGATGTTTTTGCATTTTACGACAATCGCTTGTCAGGTGACATCCCTAGTTCCCTAGGTCAGTTGAAAAAGTTGATATTTTTCTCATTAGGCTTAAATAAGTTGTCTGGTATTGTCCCTCGCTCCATTTATAACCTCTCCAATTCAGTTACTTTTCCCGTCTCATACAACTGATTAAGTCAAGGGATTCCCAGAGAATTGGCTACAATCTTTCCAAATCTCGAAAGCTTTAACATTGCCGGTAATCAATCTTCCGGGTCCATTCCTATTTCAATATCCAATGCCACAAATCAACAAAAGCTTTGTAACCTTGAGACACTAAAAACCGCCTTGGAACCGGTACTGATGGTGACTTGAGTTTTGTTTCGGGCTTGAGCAATGCCACGAAGTTAAGGTTGTTTCTTATCCAGGATAACAATTTTGGAGGGATGCTTCCAACATCCTTATTCAATCTCTCAACCAAGCTTAAAGTGCTTGGGGTTGGAGCATACCAACTCTATGGAAACATCCCATCTGGGATATCCAATTTAGTCAACTTGGAATTATTAGGTATGGGGAATAACCACTTGACAGAGAATATCCCAACTGACATAGGAAAGCTTGCAATGCTACAGAGGTTGATTCTTTTTACCAATGTTGGCCAAACTTGAGTTGCAAGGAAATAATCTTCATGGTGACATCCCTTCAAATCTAGGGAAATGCCAAAGGCTATTGCATTTGGATCTTTCTCAAAATAACTTTGGTGGCTCAATACCTCGAGAAGTTCTTAGTCTCACCTCCTTATCGATTTTGTTCAACTTGTCTAGAAACCAGTTAACTGGTTCTCTTCCATTGGAGAGTGGGAAACTGAGCAGTTTAGGCAAATTGGACTTTTCAGACAACATGTTATCAGGAGAACTTCCCAATAGTCTTGGTGGTTGTGTGAGTTTAGAAGTCCTACACTTTCAAGGCAACTTCTTCAACGGGACCATTCCCTCATCTTTGAGTTCATTGAGAGGGATTGAGGACACTTTCTCGCAACAATTTCTCCGGTGACATTCCACACTTTCTGGAGGGCTTTGTTGTCTTGATGAAACTCAACTTGTCTTTCAATCAACTTTTGGGAGCAGTACCGATTGAAGGTGTTTTCAAAAATGCAACTGCAACTTCAATTGTTGGAAACACCGGGCTCTGTATTGATATTGGTAATCTCCAACTTCCCAAGTGCAAGAATAAGGGCAGATTGTCTCCTAGATTGAAACTAATAATCTCTTTTGTAGCTGGGTTTGCCTTTCTGGGAATGGTTATAGCGTTGTCATTACTGTTTGTTTGTTCATCAAGAACGAAAGGGAAAGGAGCAGGTCCAAGTGCTTTGGGGAACTCTACAAGTGTCATATAACACTCTCTTGAAGGCTACTGACGGGTTCTCCTCAACTAATCTGATTGGCATGGGCAGCTTTGGGTCCGTGTATAAAGGAGTTCTTGATGTTGACAATGGAACTCGTCAGCTTGTTGCAGTCAAGGTGTTTAACATGTTACGCCAGGGAGCCTCTAAGAGTTTCATAGCCAAATGTGAGGCGATGAGAAATATCAAACATCGGAATCTTGTCAAGGTTGTAACGTCTTGTTCAAGTGTGGACTTTTCTGGTAATGATTTCGAGGCTTTAATTTATGAGCTCATGGACAATAGGAGCTTAGAGGAGTGGTTGCATCCAACTGCCGGAACACCCAAAAATTTAAGTTTTCTGCAGAGGCTAGACATTGCCATTGATGTTGCTTGTGCATTGGATTATCTTCATAATCATTGCGAGGCACCAATTGTTCCTTGTGACCTCAAGCCTAGCAACGTTCTTTTGACAAACGACTTGACTGGACTTGTTTCTGATTTTGGACTGGCAAGATTTCTCTCAAACCTGACCAGTAACGTTGTGGGAAGTCAAACAAGTTCCATTCGAATACGAAGAACGGTTGGTTATGCTGCTCCTGGTAAACATCTTCATGTGATTCTCTATTTTCATTTTGATCATTCATTTACTTGGCTGGAAAAATAAAGTTAATTAACTAACGAGTTCATGTTGCTCTTTTGTGATGTTTGAATTGTAAAGTATGGCATGGGAAGCAAGATTGCAACATGTGGGGATGTCTACAGCTTTGGTATTCTCTTGTTAGAGATGTTTACAGGGAAGAGACACACCGACCCTATGTTTAGTGACGGCTTGAACCTTCACAATTTTGTCAAGATGGATTTGCCACAACGAGTTGCAGAAATTGCAGATTCACTATTCGACCCTATTACTCCCGACCAAAGCAGCATCATGAGTGCTGAAAAAATCCAAGTGTGTTTGAGTTCAATATTTAAAATAGGAATCTCGTGTTCTGATGAATCCCCGAGAGACCAAAAGGATATGAGTGATGTTGTAACTGAGTTGCAATCCATCAGGGACCTTGTCCTTGGCCAGAAGCTTTTGTGATGACCCCAAATGATATCAATGATGTTGTAATTGACAGTTGAAGTGTGTTTGAGTAAATGGAGGTATTTTTTACATACCAATTTTTTCATTTGCATTTCACATGATTGTGTATCCATCTTCAAAGACATGTGCTTTCCCCTATAAACCAAACTGCTACGTATGAAATTAAAAGCGTGTGCAAAAAATTCATTGACACCAGAAAACATATACAATTGATCTTGAATCCCTGCACATCATGTATTAACCTACAAGAATTTTTGTACACTCAGTTGCCACGCAATATGCTCAGATTCTAATGCATCAAACGTGAGGAGTTTGCTGCGCATCCACGACTGGCCATAGCAGACTGGCAATTCTAATGTCTAGGAGCCTTCTTTTGTCTCAAGCTTTCTGGTCTTTTCGAGGAGAAGTCCCATGTCACGAGGTGTATACTCTTTTGCTCTCTCTATCTCTCTCCTCAAGTAACTTGAGAAGAAAGATACAGAGAAAGAGGTTTACATACCTTCTCACGTGAGAGGAGAGACATAGAAAGGGATACACCCAGTGCTAGGTAAATTTTCCCGTTTAAGAATTAATATTAATCTATGCATTTTCTTCTTGCAAGAGAGGGACCTTCCTCTCAGAACTAGATTCCAGATTCTCATCAACACATTGTTGATCTTGATCATGTATTTCATCTTCTCTGATTTGTCCCCAGATTATAATAAAGTACCCCATTCCAGTTATCACTGCTCCCATCACACTGCAAGATTATAATTCATAGAATACCAAAACAAAAAAGGAAATTCAAAAGCAACAAAGACTAATTAATTACCTTCCATAACGAAGACTATTTGCAGATAAACTGACACCAAAAATGGTTGCAAAAACAATCCTAAATGGCTTGAACAATGGCACATAATATGGACCCTTCATGTTCATACACCAATGTTGAACACAGCCTTGAACTAGACCCCCGAAAATTGCCTACAACAAAGAGCCCGAACGATGAAGTTCAAGGGGATGATTAATTACAATTTAACTACATATGTTCAGTGCTAATTACTTACTGTTAAAACAATGAGAAGGAGCTCCCTGTTGAGTTTTAATTTCCAAGCACTTGGGTTTCTTTCTAGGAACAAAGATAGTATTGCAGATTGGGTTGTCCCAAGCAAGCTATAAAAAGTTACCACTTCCATTACTTCCGCCTGTGGATATGAGGTCTTTATCACAGTTATAAAAAACTATAAAAAGTCATCTATCACGGGCAGTGACATGATTTATCACAGTTATCTATATATGTCACTTTTCCCCCAACGTAGATGTCATAACTTATCTCCCCATCATGATACAATTCAATAGAGAATAGTGGATATACTAAAATTCACAAAAACAAACCCTAATTAAAAGCCAACAACAAACAGAAGCAATTGCATTTTAAACTAACAAACCATTCTATATGCAACTATATGCAACTAATGCACAACATTCTATATGCAACTAATTGCATTTTAAAAGCCAACAACAAAAACCAATGCATTGCAACAAACCACAACTATATGCAAACAACCAAAGCACATTAACCATTTCTCAACAAGAATAAACAATGCAATAAAGCAACAAACCACCTTATCTTCACAATAATAAACAAAGCAACACAGCAACAAACCCATTATCCAACAACTCAGTAACCATTTCGAATTAAGAAAGCATAAACCACCTTTTCAAACAAGAATAAACAATGCTACAAGAATAAACAAAACCCACATTCAATCCATTCCAACATCCCAAGAACCATTTTGAATTAACAAAGCATAAATCCACATTTTCAAACAAGAATAAACAAAAACCACATTTAACCCATTCCAACACCTCAGGTACCATTTTGAATTCACCAAGCATGAATCCACCTTTTCAAACAAGAATAAACAAAACCCACATTCAACCCATTCCAAAAAATAAGTCAAGTATGCATTTGGAATCATCAAAAGCACAAAAAAAGCTTACGATAGGTAGGCATCATTTTGTGGGATCCTCGCGCACGTACCACCCCATGTCGAATCCTTCGATTTTTCTTCAAAGCCAATGGAACCCATATGAAACCTCCTTCCAACACCAACGAAGTCAGGGAAGCGAGTCGACAAGATGATTTGGGTTTTTCATCAATTTCTAATCTGATTGTTTAAGATTTGGAGTTGCGAGAACTAGGGTTAGGGTTCTTGTTTTTCTAGAATTAGGAATGGAATTATATCAACAGGATTTAGGTGTACCGAGGGGAAAACCAATTCGAAAGGCACAATTTACAACTTCCCTTACTTTTTTTAATTTTTTTCAATTTTAATTTAAATTAATTTTTTAATTCTAATGGAATATCCATGTGTCGTCCTGTGAGAAAGCCACGTGTATTGGGAATCTCAACTGGATGTCATTTGGCGGGAAAACATTGGATGTGGTGCCATGTGGAATCCATATAGGCAAGGAACTGGGCCCCAGATCAAGCCACATCAGCATTTAACTGAGAAATTCATGGATAAGCTAACGGAGATATAATATTGGACCAAATTCTAAAGATGAGGTATGACATTATCAACTTTAAAAGATCAGGTACGATAGTGTCATGACACAAATAGTTGAGGTAGTTTTTTGTCATTTACCCTTTAAAATATTATAATATATAATTTTAATAATTAAAAGAAAAATAGTGTTAACTATATTTTGGAAAGGTTATGTTATTTAGGTGCATTCCCTTGTCAAATAATGTATACTTATAGATGAAAAGTTACATCTCTTTAACAAGAAGTACTTGGGTGCTATATAAACTTATAAAACTATCATATTAAGGTAGAAAAATTAGAGTTAATTTCTACTCTTGAGAAATAGGGTTTCCCTACTTCATTTCTCTCATGCTTCGTGTGTCAAATTTCGAGTCGTGTTTTAAGAGTACAGAATATATAAAGTTCGCCAGAGTTTGAAGATTGAAGTGCTTTGACTTCGGATTATAGATTGTTAAATCATAGGAGATGGATGCCCACCGAACTACAAGCACAAGAATAAGGGCGAAATTATGTATTTAGGACATTGCATTTATGCAAGCCTCAATCTCTAAGTTTGTCAGTTTTTCTAACTTTATCTCTAGTTGTTTATATTAATCTTGTATACTATTGATGTTGTGATTTTCTTTATGATTATTATCACTAGAATTCTTGTGTTATTTTCATATTTTCTAATATTGCTCCAACAATCTAAAGACAGAATTTTATATACAATTGTTAGAAAAAATGTTTCGAAAGATTATGGGTTGTAAGACGTATATGCAGTATACGTAAAAGAGTGAAGAGAAAAAGAAAAAAAAATCGTCAAACAAGTTGGAGATCTTCAAATCATTGTATGTGATGATCGTTATGAAAGTATGACCTTTCGTTGTATTCCATGGTAGTGTAAATGAAAAATTGCCACATTCTCAAGTACAAATGATTGACAGAAGATATCTAATTGTGAGACTTCATATATATTGATGAAGATAAAAGTAAAAGGAGAATGGATATTTTTGGATTTTGATTCACACCTTTTGGATTGAATGATTTGATTCAAACAGGAAGAGATCCCATTCGGATATGTCCCATCAAATTCTAAGGATTCTGAGATCCGGACTCTTGAAATTTGATCAAACAACTACAATTATTATAATTTTTAGAGGGACCTCCTATTTGTAGCCATTGTATTAAATTTTAAGGGCCCGGATCTCTTGATACTTAGGATTTGGTGGGAGAGATCCGGATGGGATCTCTTCTTGATTCAAACAAAGGAGGTGTCTCAACAGCCTTTTTGGCGTCCTTGAAAATTTGACACTTCACTCTATAAGAGGTATGTGTAGATATTCATGAATTGTTAATTGACTTGGCATGTATATACACAGGCCACGAGGATCATGCATTATAATCTAGGCTTATAAAGTTATAATTTATGCATTAATCTAGGATTATAATCCATAATTACAATCATTAAAATAAAAAAAACACTACTAGTATAAATATTGCAACTTTGACGCTACGAAAGGTTCTAATTTGCTCCTTCACGTGTAGAGATATTGATAACACACATTAAGTTAATGGTATTTCATAACTAATCGATTGAGCACCAGCTCGTAGACCACCTAAAAAGGAATATTTATTATTTGACCTGTATCCCAACATAAGAAGTCCAATTGGAACAATACTGGAAATGGCAATCCATAGAAGAAAACACCGATATTGAGATTCGCTAAAACAAGGTGATACCCAAAAGGAACTACTGAATAGCTTATTAAAATTGCCCGATACTGAATAAACGAGTATCCCCTAGATGGAAAAAGATTTTCTTTGAAAAGTAGTTTTATTCCATCTGCTAGAGCTTGAAAAACTCCCAAAGGGCCCGCGTATTCAGGTCCAATACGTTATTGTATCCCTACCGATATTTCTCTTTCTAACCATACAATTACTAGTACACCTATTGTGATTCTCACTACAAGAGTCAAAATAGGAATAAGAACCCTTAAAATTCCATAAACCTATTTCTGTAAAAACATTTGTAATTACATTTGAACATAATTACATTTGACAAGTTGAACATAATTACATTTTGTAATTATGTAATCAGATGTCACAATCGAATCTCTCCATGTAGACTTTAATTTCCAGCCATAATGATATGTTCATAGACTTTGAATTTTCTTTCAAGATGACTTGGCCTTTGTCCACGACATCCTTCACAACGACAAAATTTTCGATGGTGGAGAAGCTACTAGGAAAGTTACTCAGTGTAGGTTGTGGATATGATATTTCTCTACAACTCCTTTGTATTACAGGTTCAAATCTTTTCATGTCTCCTTAGCGTTGAGTGGTAATTTGGGTTGTAATAAAAATAATAATGCATTTACCATACCCGTAAAATTACTTATGATCGGAGACTTTTCATGAGATACCGCATAAAATTCCCACCCCCCATGTATTTGTATTTGTAAGGTTTTTTTCTAGATTTTTTTTGTCAATTTTCTAGAAAAGAAAAGAAACAGGAAGTGAGTCATCGTCGGCGATTATATCCGACTTCTTCATGCCTTGCAGTTCTATAAATATCAAACTGAAACCTTAGGTGAAATGCATACCTACCAATTTCTCAGTCTCTTCATGCACACATACCCAATTCAAACATGGGGGTTTTGGCTGTGAGATTGGTTTTTTTACACACACTTTTTAACCTACTCTGCTGCTTTAGCTCCTCCCTGCATCCGAGACTAGACGGGAGCGAAACAGACAGGATGGCATTGCTAGCCATCAAAGCCCAGATAAAGGAGGATCCCAACCAGTTCATGAGTTCGTGGAACGAATCACATCAGTTCTGCCTATGGCAAGGTGTCACATGCAGCAGGCGACATCGTCAGAGGGTCACTGTGTTAAACCTAGGTAACCAAAGCTCCAAGAAAGAAAGAAAGGGAAAGGAGCAGGTCCAAGTGCTTTGGGGAACTCTACAAGTGTCATATAACACTCTTGAAGGCTACTGACGGGTTCTCCTCAACTAATCTGATTGGCATGGGCAACTTTGGGTCCGTGTATAAAGGAGTTCTTGATGTTGACAATGGAACTCGTCAGCTTGTTGCAGTCAAGGTGTTTAACATGTTACGCCAGGGAGCCTCTAAGAGTTTCATAGCCGAATGTGAGACGATGAGAAATATCAGACATCGGAATCTTGTCAAGGTTGTAACGTCTTGTTCAAGTGTGGACTTTTCTGGTAATGATTTCAAGGCTTTAGTTTATGAGCTCATGGACAATGGGAGCTTAGAGGAGTGGTTGCATCCAACTGCCGGAACACCCAAAAATTTAAGTTTTCTTCAGAGGCTAGACATTGCCATTGATGTTGCTTGTGCATTGGATTATCTTCATAATCATTGCGAGGCACCAATTGTTCATTGTGATCTCAAGCCTAGCAATGTTCTTTTGGCAAACGACTTGACTGGACTTGTTTCTGATTTTGGACTGGCAAGATTTCTCTCAAACCTGACCAGTAACGTTGTGGGAAGTCAAACAAGTTCCATTGGAATACGAGGAACGGTTGGTTATGCTGCTCCAGGTAAACATTTTCATGTGATTCTCTGTTTTCATTTTGATCATTCATTTACTTGGCCGGAAAAATAAAGTTAATTAACTAACGAGTTCATGTTGCTCTTTTGTGATGTTTGAATTGTAGAGTATGGCATGGGAAGCAAGATTGCAACATGTGGGGACATCTACAGCTTTGGTATTCTCTTGTTAGAGATGTTTACAGTGAAGAGACCCACCGACCCTATGTTTAGTGACGGCTTGAGCCTTCACAATTTTGTCAAGATGGATTTGCCACATCGAGTTGCAGAAATTGCAGATTCACTATTCGACCCTATTACTTCCAACCAAAGCAGCATCATGAGTGCTGAAAAAATCCAAGTGTGTTTGAGTTCAATATTCAAAATCGGAATCTCGTGTTTTGATGAATCCCCGAGAGACCGAAAGGATATGAGTGATGTTGCAACTGAGTTGCAATCCATCAGGGACCTTATCCTTGGCCAGAAGCTTTTGTGATGACCCCAAATGATATCAATGATGTTGTAATTGACAGTTGAAGTGTGTTTGAGTAAATGAAGGTATTTTTTACATTTCAATTTGTTCATTTGTGCATTAATGTGCATCTTGGCATCCAAGTTTGTCTCACTTTTTTTTTTTCCCTAACTTTGTGGTGTTTCCCAACTTGTTTTGCAGGTGTAGACCTTTAGGTTTGGTTTTAGAGGGGTTAGGTTTCATGTCCCCCCACTTTTCTTTGTATCTCTCTTATTTTCGTTTCTAGAAGGGTACGGTTTATGTTCTCCCTTCTTTTTTGTGTATTGTTTTTGAATCTCTATTTTATGCGGGGTAAGGTTTATGTCCGCCCTAATTATGTGTAACTTCTTTTTTCGTTATCAATATGTTCTTTCCCCTATAAACCAAACTGCTACGTATGAAATTAAAAGCGTCTTCGAAAAATTCTTTGACACCATAAAACATATACAGTTGATCTTGAATCCCTGCACATCATGCATCAAACGTGAGGAATTTGCTGCGTATCCACGACTGGCCATAGCAGATCCGGCAATTCTAATGTGTAGGAGCCTTCTTTTGTCTCAAGCTTTCTGGTCTTTTCGAGGAGAAGTCCCATGTCACAAGGTGTATACCATTTTGCTCTTTCTCTCTCCTCCAGTAACTTGAGAAGAAAGACACAGAGAAAGAGGTATACATACCTTCTCACATGAGAGGAGAGACATAGAAAAGGATACACCCGGTGCTAGGTAAATTTTCCCGTTTAAGAATAAATATTAATCTATGCATTTTCGAGAGGGACCTTCCTCTCAGAACTAGATTCCAGATTCTCATCAACACATTGTTGATCTTGATCAAGTATTTCATCTTCTCTGATTTATCCCCAGATTATAATAAAGTACCCCATTCCAGTTATCACTGCTCCCATCACACTGCAAGATTACTCCTCTGTTAATTCATAGAATACCAAAACAAAAAAGGAAATTCAAAAGCAACAAAGATTAATTAATTACCTTCCATAACTAAGGCTATTTGCAGATAAACTGACACCAAAAATGGTTGCAAAAACAATCCCAAGTGGCTTAAACAAGGGCACATAATATGGGCCCTTCATGTTCATACACCAATGTTGAACACGGCTTCGAACTAGACCCCCAAAAATTGCCTACCACAAAGAGCCCGAACGATGAAGTTCACGGGGATGATTAATTACAATTTAACTACATATTTTCAGTGCTAATTACTTAATGTTAAAACAATGAGAAGGAGCTCCCTGTTGAGTTTTAATTTCCAAGCACTTGGGTTTCTTTCTAGGAACAAAGATAGTATTGCAGATTGGGTTGTCCCAAGCAAGCTATAAAAAGATACCACTTCCATTACTTCCACTTGTGGATATAGTTTCATAGTCCCCATCTAATCACAACAGAGTAAAAGTAGAACAAGTACTTCAATTGCCAATTCAAAACAAGAATTAAACAGTAAAAAATGAGATTAATATGAAACATATCATGCACTCCTCGCTTTATTTTTTTTTCACGTAAGATGATTTTTTAAAGTTTCAGTAACATCACTTAATTGCCTGAATGATGTTCCATACGGAGACAGATAAAGTCGATGCTGCCAGTAAGAGGCCACCCACAACCCAATGCTCTTTCTCTGAGGAGAAGATTAAGCCTACTTTCTCTACCAGGATGAAGAATATTCCAATGTGAAGAGGAAACTGAAGATTTTCTTATATATTCGCCCCTGTAGAGTTCAACCACTATTGCCCCGATTATTGATATTAATGTGCCACTTACTTTGGCCTGGAAGCTTGAGCTTCTCCAATTTAGCTTTGTCGTCCTGTAATTAGGATAACTGAGTTAATTTTAAAGAGGTGTTATCAACACGTCAACAAGTTTATCAAACATATTTTTTTTATAAAAAATATAAACAAAAAAAAATACGCATGAAGAAGCAAATGAGAACCTTTCGCAGCGTACTCAAAGTTGCAATATTTATACTAGTAGTGTTTTTTCGATTTTAATGATTGTAATTATGGATTAATTACGAGCCTGAGTATGATACAGAGCTGGAAGGAAAAAGATGGGATCATTAGGCCCATGGCAAACACAAGAATTGGAGAGCTGTAACTGAGGCCAAGGAATCCAAGATTCTGAGATAAACAAAATCAAGGATTTTTATTCTTCTTGAAGGTCGGATGGTTCCATAAGAAAGAATTAATTATTGCACATAACTTATATAGACTTTATTTATACAATTATTTTATTTCACGACTTAAATAACAAATATAAGACAACTATATATATGAAGGTTGAGAATGGATGAATATTTATTTTAAAAAGTATCGTATCGCACTAAGATATAGTTATACGGCATAAATAATTTACAAAATAAGAAAAGTTTAAAGTTAAGTGCAAAGGAGAGCACATCGACCTGATCGACTGACTTGATATATCTCTAGATTCACGTTACAGTGTGGTAGATGTTCAAGGTATAATATATAACCACTGTATGTGTTTTGCAACATGTTTGAATTGATTATATATACGTGTCATAGTAATATTTATTCTAAGGCTTGCTGAGGTCAACTGGAGAATCTATGGATTCATGCGTTGAAGAGATGGAAGAATATGAAGTGCATACCCTGTAAGACCCAAGAGGAAGCATCGAACGAAGAGAGCCCAGATGAAGACTGATTGTTGTGTTGAATCTCTTCTGCTCATGCAATAATATAAAGAACATATTGTCAATTAATCTGTCATCGATAATATATCATAACGAACAAGTACTGCCAGATATTACTTGATAGTATGTGTTTGAGAGAGAGAGAGAGAGAGAGAGAGAGAGAGAGAGAGAGAGAGAGAGAGAGAGTTACCGGCATCAGCGAAAGAGGATAGAAGAGAGGAGGAGGAAGAGAGAGGAAAGGGAGTGAGTGTAGACGACAAAAACAAAAGGGCTCATGCCATCATTTGTCATGACAGTTTTTGCCCAAATAGTTAATATTATGGTACAACCTCGGCACAGTTTCCTGCAGTTTGAGGTTACTCATCATCCACATCACTGCTTCTATTACTCCCACTCTCTCTTAATTTTGCACGACCTTAGAAAGCTAGCAAGAAAAAAAGAGGTCTCTCTCTCTCTCTCTCTCTCTCTCTCTCTTTATGTATATGACGACTGGGGGCAACCCTTAATGAAAAGTTGAAGCTACTTGAAAAGGAGAAATAGCTACTCGGATATATACTTATTATCACTATTATTATTAATGCAAGGGAAGCTGACCTATTTTGGACAAAGGATTCCTATAAATATTGACCTATTTTAAGTGCAAACAGGTGAAGTTAATAATTTACTCATATTGTCACATATATATTTATTTTGATTATGACGAGTATACTAACACATGATATTCACGCAATGTCACTAATCTACGTACTATAATATGAGTAGATAACATGATTAATGTTTCTTTTCTTTTTCACTGCTAGCAAAATAGTCCTGGCCTGCACTCCTCCTGGAGATTTTCCTTACAACATTTCAAACAGCCTTGCCAAGAAATGTTGTTAAACTAAAGCTAATAAGTCCACCCAATTACTCAGCTATAAGTTCATAACAAGGATCAATGGTGGTACTTTGTTTTTTCTGATAATATTTTGGATGTGATTTTATGTCAACCTTTAAAGCTCAGCTCAGGCTTCAGGAGGAGTTACTGTGAAAATAGCAGTAACTCTTCCTTGATTCTTTTCTCCTGCATTTTTGTTCTTAAAAGAAAATGGCAGATTCTTGAGCTGAATCCCACACCCCCATTTCAACAGATTAGCAAATTTCCACAACCGAATTCCCGACTGCACGAATACGTTTTTATGTCCAGATAACCCTGCGTTTCAATTTGAACTCACCTAGCAGGCTATCATATTTGAAAGTACAAAAAGTCTATGCACACACTACTAGTCATTAATCAGAGTAATGGTATAAGATTATACAATCTTCATATTTTATTTGATTAACGAGTGTAAACAATCAAATATAGAACTTCAATAACTTTGGCCTTTGCCATACATCCATTCATTTCCAAATAAGGAGCTCCCTTTCACATGCACGTTATGTTGTGGTTATCTTAAGACAGCTTTGACCCTGCAAACTCAATGTTCAACTCCTGCTGCTGATATCTGTGATCATGCTCCCCATGTCCATGATGACCCTACATTATCCATGGAAAATCAACTGTTATTTCCTGTTTAATATCCTCTTCGCAAACCTTTTCCGTCAGATCAGCGCATGTTATGAAGAAGACTTAACAAAACTAACAAGCAAACTTTCTTAAGAATATCTATGCAGGAAAACATCAAACATATCTGCAACTCATTGGAAAATTGTCAAAGTTTAAGTACGATACCAGTGCGTTGACAATAGAAAATACATAGAAACTCTACAAATTATTCACAAACGCTTTAGTAGCTCAAAAGGTTGATCAACGGCCAGGCAAGAAAACTGGCTCCTCATTGCAGGAGGAGACAGCTAATGTAAGATACATGAGTTTGCATTGTCTTTTGAGATTTCTACTCTCTTGGGCAATATATAAACTGAAACAGGGGAGTCATAATATTTCGTTAGTATCAGTGCCAATGGGCATGGCATGCTTCTCATGGCAACTCACCTTTGCAGCGAATTTGCAGCTATGCTCAGTTTACACCAACACACTGTGTTTGAATCAATGCATATATGATTCCAATAACAAATGGATCTTCATTGCACCTGCATTACGTAGGGTGACTTATGCTCACTAGTCACAGCCTGAGCAAACCAATTCCCACAATAACATATCCCAGTTTTCGGGGATCAAGGAAAGGGTAACATTCTAAAAGAACTGACAAAAGCAACAGAGATTACCATTTTGTTTGGCAAGAGAGACCTCACAGGGTGATCAACTGAAAAAAAAACTTCTATATTTCTTCAATGTGGCTTTGCAATAGAGGGACCTGCTGTTTGATTGATGCCAGGCTCTCTTCCCCTGCATCCTCATCCATCTTCTCTTCGTTGGCTTTGCCCCACATCACAGAATAAAATCCAATGACAATAACAATTGCTCCTATCAAACTGCAGCATTTAGTAAATGTAAATTGAGAAGCTAAATTATGTCCTTTTTGCAATTTTCAACACGAACAAAATTGGTGCCTCTCAATCGATGACATATTGATAAGGTAGTTACAGGGAATAAGGATTGAAACCCTACCTCCCAAGGTAGAAAGTATCCCCTAAGAAGGTAACACCAATGAAAACTGTAACGATAATCCCCAAAGGCTTGAACATAGCTACAAAAACAGGCCCTGTCCTTCTAAGGCACCAAGTAGATACACCAACCTGGAATGCAGAGCCAAACACTGCCTGCAATAGTATAACTTAGCAACTTAGGTTCATGTGTTGGAAAATATTACATCCGATAGGTATATCAAGGCTGGGTTTAGTTATCTAATTACCGAGTATAGAACAGCGATCCACCTGATTTTAGGAGTTAATTCCCACGAACGCAGGTCTCTTTCTAAAATTGAAGAGACTACTACAGATTGAATAGCAACAAAGAAGCAATAATAAAAGACCATGATCAGCTCGGCGCGGTATTTCTTTAGGACTGATGCCTGAAACACAGAAAAACGAAATAGGAAGCAGTCTTAGTTTCTAACCAAATTCCACCCTTTCATGAGCGTTTATGTAAATTTTACAGATTTCACCTGTACGATAATCCAAGCTGAGGCCAACACGCAATTAGCCGCTACACACACTCCTCCAAGTACCCAGTTTGACCGTTCTGAGATAAGTTGTTTATGAGACAACACATCAGTCATAACAGTTGAGGATGTCTTCAGAATTGGGGGTCCCTTGTAAAGAGTCACAATGAAAGCCCCTGAAATTGAAACTATTGTTCCCAATGTTTTAGCTAGGCTACTGAAGCTTCTCATGTCAATTCTTTCCATTCTGAAATCACCCAGTTCAACGAATTTAGAAATCAGTGACAGTGTAAGATTACCAGTCTACCACTGTCTTAGAATTTTATTGTATCTTTAATGAGAGAAAGCTCATCAGCTGAAATTCTCATTGGAAACAAACAAGATAATCAAATATTTACACTGGTTCTTCTACAAATACCTCTAAGAACAGAAGATCTACACATTGCTAAGATAAGGACTATTAACAAAATACGACAATTGTGATAAATCAGACTTCAGAATAAAGAAAAGAAAAACAAGGATTCTAAGGTCAGCTGGCCAAAGCAGCGTGCCCTTCCCACTTGCACCCGAGCTCGAATTCCCCTCCCCATGGATTATCATTAGAGTAGTTTAAAATATTGTCTTGTCTAAAGAAAAAACCAGGGTGATCACAATTTGCAGTATGAGTAAAAAGAGGAGGACATAACCTGAAGATAACTGCAAGTACAAAGGTAAAAGCTGGAATGAGGTTGAGCATAGCTGTACTCAGAGTAGGAGAACTATAATTAATCCCAGCATACCCAAGAAACTGCGCCATGAATCTGCAAAACCCCAATATCAAATTATCAATCAAACCCACTAAACAAAATCCCACTATTCACACTCACAAACAAAATAAAAATGCAACCTTCAGTAATTTCTAACATGGGATTTTATCAAACAGATGAAATTATTAACTTACCCAATTAGACCAAGCAAGAAGAACCATCCGATTATCGAGATAGTGAGAGGAGGACGCTCAGATCTAACAAACACACCACAGTGAAAAATCAAATCTTTGGTTTCTGGGTAGTTGAGAAACAGTGAGATTATTTGATTACCTTTGTGATCATAGTAAAAAACCCGACTGAAAAACTACATCTTTGGCTTCTGGGTAGTTGAGTAAGAGTGAAATTTAAGTAATTACCTGTGGAAGACTAGAGAAATTGGGAGGAGGATGAGGGCGGCGAGGGCGTTGGAGTAGCAGAGGAAGATGAGGTTGCTCATGCCATTCGACATGGCTATTTTGCTTATTATAATTAGCCCAGCTTGTGCACACTCAGCCAACACCATCCCAACAATGGGCAGTGCTGCGATCCTCCCCATAACTCTGTTTTTTTCTTCAATTTCAGAACCAAAATTTCTTACAGGAAGTTGCAGACATGGAGTTCGTAGAAGACGAGTCCAGTGGGGGTCAATCAAATCATGTGGAGGGTGAAGACAAACTCAAATTAGAATTTGATTGTTTAAGCACCCAATTGCATGGTCTTGGTGGCGTAGTCAAGTGGGTGGGAAGCCGTCGAAAATGTGAAACGATTCTTTTATTCATTATCTGGTTAGGTTCATTATGAATCTAGCCGAAACATCGTTTGTTTTTTCGTTTAGATTAAAGAAATTATTTATTTTTTAACAAACAATATTATTTACACAATAGGTTAATAATAATATGATTCAAATTAGTATTTGACGAGAATCGAGCCTCTTACTTACAAATGAAAAGGAATATCACTAGATCATAGTATTAAATGACAGAAAAAAGAAATTATTTTAAATGGGAAGAATCAAATTTACGAGCTTCCGAGATATTTTTTTAGGGCTGGTACTATCTACATACCATTTTATCTTTCACATATCTTTTGAAGTTTTAACTGTTGGATCGAATGGATAAAGATGATCAAATGACAAAAACTAACAGAATATGTGAAAAATAAAAAAAATTGTGCGAACACCCTTACTATTTTTATGTAATCACTTTGTCACGTGGATAGGATATTATTTGAACATGTGATGTGATAAACGACATTGACACTGTAACAAAATCTTAATTGTACGAGAGAATCACTTGGTGACACATCGTTATTTGTCTAACTGCGCTCTTTTACTTTGTTACAAAAAATATTCAAATTTTATGTACCTTTTTGAGATTTTCACTGAATTTCATACCTTTTTGAGATTTTCACTGAATTTCATACCTTTTCTTTGATGTCACAATTGTAGAGCCAAAAATATTCATTAGGCGATACGTGGATCTTTGGATAAAGAAGATAAAAATAACCTTGAGGTGTATCAGGATTCCTACGTGCGAGTAGCGGGCGATCATCCTCAACCAAGTCAGAAATACCCAAAAAAGGTAACAATTCAAAAATTCATCTCATCAAATCCTTCTACAAGGTAATTCCTAAAATTTATTTCACCCCATATATCTTTTACCTAATTTCCCTTTTTTAGCTAAATCAATTAGCTAATTATTACATAACCTAATTATCTATTTATTCTAAATATTCTGTAACCACCAAAACATTCCCCTTTTCTTTAATTAGCCAATTAATACCTATTAAAATTGGCTAATTAAACCAAAATTAAACCCAAAAACCCACCTAATGGTCAGCCACTCTTTCTCCAAAAAGGACCGGCCTATCCCTATAAGTAGGCTCCCATTTTCACCAAAAGATGATTCCAACACACTTAAAAAATCTCAAATACTCTTTAAACATTTTTCTCTCTAAATTTTAACTTTGACATCGGATGTTCTTCGGGCAAAGCCCCCCTATTCATCGTGGGCGCGTGAGGCTCTTGGCCTTGACCCTAAGGTGTTAATTGTTTTGTAGGTGCAATTTTGTCCAAGATCAAGGAGGAAGAAATTTGAATCCACAACATGTTGAATTGATAAATGCATCTCATTTCCAATTTTTTATGAGCCATAAAATGCATCCAACTAGAAATTCACACATATTCCTTCATGTTACAATTTTTTAATTAGTTTTCATGTTGCAGATGTAATGGGCTCGATATAGCATAAGTCACAATGTGTAAGTCTTTGATTAAAAGAGCGAGATAATAATTTACACTTTACAAAATAATTTTCACTTGACAAGTTGAAAGTTTATGTCCTAATTGCACAGAAGTTTTATATGATGAAAAGTTCGTTAGACTTTTTACCTAGATGGTTAAGGTGGAGATAATTCCCTGTGAACCAGGAGTTGAGATGTGTGTTTACATAGGACAGTTACGCACCAATACTACTGCTTCTCTTGTCTTGTATCCCGTTTTGTAGCAAAGGGAGCTTATTTTGGTCCAATGATTCTATTTCGATCAGCTTCTCTTCTGTGGCCTTCCCCCACATCATGGCATAAAATCCAGTAACGATTATGGCTGCACCAACCAAACTGCGAAGTTGTTCTATAATCATCATTAATTTGCTAATAAGAATGTATTATTTCTTAATCATAACTCGTGAGCTAGATTTTCTAACAAGCCAAAGATGTTGTCAACAAGCTGTAGCTTTCACCAACTTTCAATGATTAAATATCAAACAAAATCAAACACAAGAGGTTGAAACAAATGATATGAACAACAATATTAATTTATACCTTCCGATGTAGACTGAATCTCCCAAAAATATGGCACCCATGATCAGACCAAAAATGATGCCAATAGGCTTAAACATAGAACAATAAAAAGCTCCAACCTTCTCTACGCACCAGACAATTACACAGAAATAAAGAACCGTCGCAACAATTCCCTGTATGATAATAAAATATATATTTTAACATAATAATCAATCCATATACTCAAATACGCTAGAATATGTGCATACAACTCAAAAAATAATAATTCTAATTAAGGGGTTATGCTAGATCACTTCCAAATATTGAGTAAATGCTACAGCGTAAAAAATTGCTTACAGTGTATAAAGCAGCAATCAACCCCACATCCAGCCTTTTTTCCCAGGCACTTGCATCTCTAACTGCAATTAAAGCAAATATTGCAGACTGAATGGTTGCGAATAAGCATTGGAAAAAGACTGAGAGCAAAATTGCGGGGTACTTCTTAACGACCGTTGCCTGCAATGCAAACATTTGGAATTTTGAAAGAAAAACGAATAGAAGGAAAACTTGTTATAATTATCTTGTTCTTTACTTTCAGCTTTATAAAAGGTAACTGAATATTAGGGGTAGTTACCTGCAGAATGTACCATAAAGAAATTGAGAAGGCGTGAACTGCAAGAAAAAGCCCTCCGAGGATCCAGTTTGATCTCGATGAGGAATTGATTTGATAGAGTGAATTAGGAAGTGATGAAGATAGCCGTATGATCGGTAGACCTTTGTAAAATGTTACAACAAATGCTCCTCCGATTGACATTACGGTTCCAAAAACTTTTGCCTGGCTGCTTGAGCTTCTCCAGTTTACAGTTTCCATCCTAAATACTCATTTGAAGCAATGCATGCTAATTACTTCTACGTAACATAAATGTTAATCTAATTCCATCACTTTCATCTTCTCTTCCAATCAGTATAACAATGGAGCATGCATACCCATACAGTCAGCTGACCCTTCGAAGTTTCAACTAAAATGAAGTAATAAAAACCCTATTTATATAGGAAAAGCTTATAATATAGATGCACATACACATTTTTGAAAAATACTTTACTAACTACTATAAAAGCTGTAGTAATAAGTCTTTTTCCACACTCTACTTTTGAATATGAAATCTATTATAAATTTTTCAAATATAGCCAATTGGAGTCGAGAAGGAGGTACTTAAGCAGTATTTCTCATCACCAACTCCTGTGTTTAGATGGATACACCCGTTCTAATTGGATTTTATAAGAAATCAACTTTGAAGAGAGTTTAATATCTTTAGTCATAGTCGTACAGTAACAGTACTTTCCATCAGTTCAAAAGAACTTAATTACATATTTACTGAGAAGCACTATATATATAGTGCTGGTCCCCCCAAATTCAAACAAATATTATTACTCTCTCACTAAAGAAAATTAGTACCTAAAAATGATGGCAAGTATGAAAGTAAAAGCTGGGATGAGGTTAAGCATGGCCGTGCTAAGCGTGGGAGAGCTGTATTCTATGCCAATATTTCCAAATATTTGCGCTGAACAACTGCATATACGATGATCTCTGATTAAATTTCTAAAAAATTGTAATTAAATTATAATTCACATGTAATTAATTAGAATGTTACCTACCAAAACAGGCCAAGCAAGAAGATTCTGCAAAGTATGGAGAATGTAAGGGGAGGGCGCTCCGATCTGCTAGTAACCAGAACATCAAAGTGAGAAGAAAAAAGAAAAGAAAAGGATGGATGGTTAAAGAAAGTTGGGATTCCTTCATAAAATCAATTGACAATATGAGGAGTATTCCAATTTACTAATTAGCACATGCAAAGTCCCTCAGATTTGGGATTCGTTCTGAACAATAATACTGTCAAGACTTTAGAGAGAGACGGAGCAGAAGTACAGTAAAATAATAAATCAGCTGATTTGATCAAATAATTTGTATGCACGAAAGAAGGAAGGATTATCCACAATTAACCTGTGGAAGATGAGAGCAGAAGGGAGAAGAATGAGGGCGGCGATGGCGTTGCCGTAGACGACGATGATGTATGCATCGGTCCCTGTGGACATCGCTGCTTTGTTTACTACCACACTCCCAGTCTGAGCCATAATCGCCATCACCATTCCAATAAAGGGAAGTAAAATCTTCATGCTCATGTTCATCCTCCCTCTCTCTCTGAGAAACACAGTCACAAACACTGGTACACATGCATATTCTCACATCCCTGTTAATTATTTTGCGATAATCTACTTTATAGTTTTCTTTTTTAGCCCAATTTTATTACTTGTAAATTTGTTCTAGTGGAGGAATGCATGGTTGACATGCAAGGGCATTTTGGCAAAAATCTCTTTCTTTGTCGAACGTGTACGATTGGATAAGAGGTAGATATTCTACGAGCATAACTATTTTTACGATATTTTTGTGACCATAATTATTAAAAATACAAGAGTTTATTGTCACAATGACATCTCGATCATTGTAAGTCTTTTAACTAGCTGATGAAGAGTAAAGTTTTCTTAGACCCATACTTTAAGAAAATTGTGATCACCCCATTTTGATCTTAATTCTACGGCAAAAGAAAAAATACGAAAAAATAAAATAAAATTAAATGACCACTTATTATAAAGTTAAATTTAAATTATGAATAATGTCTGATAATGTGGGGAGAACATATCTGAAAGCTGCTTTGTTCCCACTACATTGTTTATTCTTGAAAAGAAGCTTTGTTGTTTGTTCACCAATTAAAATTTAAAACCAGCCACATACATTTATACTTTTCCAACAAGAAGGGGAACAATCATCCGACTTCATTTCTTATTTTCCAGTTTCCCCATTCAATTTTCTTGTTAGAGAGAAATGGAAATGAAATGTGCCGAACCATAATATAAGGGGAATCTTATTCTTGTACCACGTAGGTTTCTCCCCACGTAAAATAAAAGCTGGACTTGTAAGCATGCAAGTTATTTTGACAACTAATAAGTTGTGTTTTTAGCGTAACTACTATACCACTATTGATGATGATGCACCGACTGAGACATCTCTCCCTCCATAAATGATAGGTTATGGTTCAATCTTGGAGTTATAGATAAATGGAAAAGGAGAGACTTAGAAGTGAACAATTATTAGTATTTTAAAAAGATTACTTTGTACTCTAATTTTAAAGAAAATGATTTTTACACATTTTTTAAAATTTTTTATACACTTTTTTATTTGTAACTATCAGATTAAATAAATTTCACAAAAAACCAATCAATAATGTTGTTACCCATGCTACGGGGAGATTTTTTTAGGGTTGTTTAAATATAAGCCCATACAGCTCATATACCTTGAATAAAAACCCACATATGAATAAACATCTAATAAAAATCCAAAATTTAAATAAATTTCCACATAAGAAAATAAGTAACCTATTAATATAAGTTATTTACAATTTATGCCACAACTTTCTATAACTATTCTCATACAACCATTATTAGCCAACCATTATGGCTAACGTTTTTAACAATTTCCTTTACCAGTCTAATAATGAATTAATATAATGCATTACCATATCTCTTAACTATATAACTTTAGATAAATTATCTTGCGAACACAGAAAACATATATATAATAGTAAAACATAAAATAGAAGATACATTTTTTTTTTAAAAGTTAAATTGTAGGTAAATTATAAGGAAAACTAATGAAAACGGCTTGAAAACTTTGAGTTTTAATGATAAGGACAAAATAAAGGATAAAGTGAATAGTATCATGATTGACTTTTTAGTGAAAAATTGTGGTTTTTCGTTAAAGTGAACAGTACCGTGGGCTTTTCGTTAAAACTCCCTAAATTATATCCATGCAAAAAAAAAATTGTAGATACTGTCACATTCCAGCCCGGGCCCCCACCACATCCTGGGCTTGACTCCGCCGTAGCACGATATTGTCCGCTTTCACATCCTGGGCTTGACTCCGCCGTAGCACGATATTGTCCGCTTTGGGCCCCTACCACACCCTCACGATTTTGTTTCTGGGAACTCACACGATAACTTCCCAGTGGGTCACTCATCCTGGGAATGCTCTCACTCATTTCTCGCTTAACTTCGGAGTTCCGATAGAACCCAAAGCCAGTGAGCTCTCAAAACGCCTCATGCTAGGTAGAGATGAGAGTATACATATAAGGCTTACATGATCCATTCCCCTGGGCGATGTGGGATGTTACAGATACACTATTGTTGTAAAAAAAAAGTAGGTAAATTATATTCATACAAAAATAAAATTGTGGATACATTATTGTTAAATAAGAATAGGTAAATTTTTATCCCAAAATTTAAACAGTAGGTACATCATTAGCTTCGCAAATTATACACAGTAGGTAAATTTTTTTTGCTAAAACTAAACAATAAGTAAATTATTTTTGAAGATACATTAGTTTTGTAAAAATTAAATAATAGGTACATTATTACTCCACAAATTTGATACGATGGATAAATTATGGTATAAATTTATAGTTGGCAATATATATATATATATATATATATATATATATATATATATATAGGTACATTATTTTATTAATAAATATTTTAAAAGATAGACTATTTCACTAAAAAGTTATATTTAAATTGAAAATTGTTGTTAAGATTAAGAAAACTTTCCAAATGAATTCCTACATCAAATTAGAAGCAAATTTTATGGAGTGAGAGAAAAATGAATCAGCCAAATTATTACAAAACGTGAAAATCTTGAATTCTCACATAACATGCATTGCATTTAGAATATTAGTGCTTTTTTTATTTTTTATTTTTGTAAACTCATTAATCCTCCTAAAAATGTGCATATGTTTAATTGTGCACATTAAACATGCAAAAAGGGGTATTTTAGACATTCGAAAATTTTAAAATGTTTAAAGTCAAACATAATTAATGAATTTACTTATGTAGAGTCTAATCATTGGGTTTTATTCGAATAAAAAGGTTATGTCGGGTTTTATATGAAAGAGAGGGGTTAAAGTTATATTTTACCTTATTTATATAATAATTTGTGAGCGTAATTATTAAAGAATACAAGAGTTTATTGTTATGATTATGTCCGGTCATTGTAAGTTTTTTTTCTACTAGTGAATGAGGAGTTTCTTTTTTAAACTCTAAAGTTTAGAAAATTGTGACCACCCCATTTGATATTAATTTTACAACAAAATATAAAATTACAACAACAGAATTAAATAGCCTCCTACTGTAAATTAAAATTAAATAATAAATAATCACGATTTTCTTGAACACTAAATTTAGGAGAACATATATGGGCTGGTGAATAATGTGTGATAATTTCACTTTTTAATGCTAAAAGCTGCTTTGTTCCCACTACATTGTTTGCTCGTGATAAGAATAAGAAGCTTTATATTTTTTTTAATTATTATTAAAAAAAAAAAAAAAGAGGAAGAGGGTTTAAAATTATCACAATAATTTACTGAATGAAAGAGTGTTTCAAATCTAGAACGCATAGATGAAGACCCAACATCCTAATAATGTACTTATTCAACAAATGAAAAGGATACATAAGGACCAATTAATCTTTTGGTTACCTCTTTGATACAGAACCAATTAAAATTTAAAACCAAACATATAGAAGAGGAACAATCATCTGACTTCATTTCTTATTTTCCAGTGTCTTTTTTTTTGGTCCCGTCCAATTTTCTTGTTCGAGAGAGAGGGAAATGAAATATGCCAAAACCATAATAGAAAGGGAATCTTATTCTTGTACCACGTAGCTAGGTTGCTCCCCACTTGAAATAAAGTTGGACTTATTCCAATTTTCATGTTACTTGTAAAGCATACAAATTATTTGACAACTAATAAGATATGTTTTTACTCTTTAGCACAAGCACTATACTACTATTGATGAAGAAGCACCTATAATCACATCTCTCCCTCCATAAATGAAAGGTTATGGTTCAATCTATTTTGGAGTTATAGATAAATGAAAAAAATAGAGAGTTTAGAAGGAAATAATTATTGCTACTTCAAAAAGATTTTTTTGTACTCTAATTTTATAACGGAAAGTGATTTTCATCACTTTTTAGCTTCTCACACACTTCTTTATTTATGTCTATTATTGGATTGAATAAATCCCACGGAATCAACGGCCAAATTAAACAAGGATGTGTAAGAGCCTAAAAAAATATGTAGTTATTTTCCTTCTATAGAACTTCTTTTGTTGGTGTGGGATTCATATTCTCAACATACCCCCTCACAAGTGTGGCGAATTTTCAAGTTTAACACATGGAATAATAAAAAAACGAGTGACGTGGATGACGTGTGGCCGTTGAACTTCACACCTAAGACACCATGCTCTCATAATATGGAGAAATATGACTCATTGTACTAATGTGAGTAAAATATTACAATATATATAATAATATAAATGTCTATTTAGGTAGAAATCATACCAATTACAATCGAAAAATTACATTTTTATAATACACGCAATAATTACGAAGATAACTCCGAATTACTTTCATTTAATCTAACAATCATTATCACTCTTACTGATTCTGAACCCAACATTCTCTTCCTCAAGAACAAAAATGAATTATAAAAATAAAAATAAACTTTCTAAGTACAATAATTCAATTCTATTATTCTGCATTTGTATGTGGCTAACACATATGATAATATCGCTTTGTAGAATAAAAAAGGGTAAATCTCAGTTTAATACCCTCAAGTTTCGTGGTTTTCAATATTTAGTACATCAAGTTTTTTTCGTCCCAGAGTCATACCTAAAGTGTTAATTTTGGGACAGTCTCATACATCTGTTAGTCAAACTGTTAAGTCTGCCATTAACTGATGACGTGGCGCCCATGTGAACAATGATTGGGCGCCACGTGTCATTAAAAAAATTAATTAAATAAAAGTACTTAAAATAAAATAAATAAATAACAGAACCCCCTTTTTTCCTTCCCCCTTCATCTTCCCCACTGGAAAAAGGGAGAGATTCTTTCCCCATTTTTTCCTTCCCCCTTCTTCTTCCCCATTGGTGCGACGGTAAGCCCCTTGCCTTCTTCGCCCGCGCCAGCTTCCATCTCCATTGCTCCCTCCACTTTGTCCTCTTTCATCTCCTCTTTCCTCTTTCCTCTCTCTATCTCATAAGTTTCTCTCTCTCTCTTTCTCTCTATCTCTCAGGTTCTCTCTCCTCTTTCTCTTTCTCGCTAGAAGGGCAAAACCCTAAAGAGTCGTTTACACCCAACTTAGTAAGTTTTCTCTCTCCTTTCTCCTTTCTTCTCTCTCCTCTCTCACTATCTCTCTTTCTCTATCTAAAATTTGAATAT